AGACCTGGTAAATTGTTCCATCCTTAGCTGGTTTACCAGCTCTGTCTCTCGGTGTCTTTTTTCTCTCTTTAACTCCCTTCCAAGCATATTATTTTAGCCTCTTTTATCTGAAAAGCATGTGTACAGCATTCTTTTGCAGAATCAGAAGACAATGAAAATCTGAGGTTTTGGTTACTACATTACATAAGAATATGTTAAGATAAATGTTTTAATTAATGTTAACATATTGTACAATGGCTTAAACCCCACTTGTAAAGAGAAGTACAATTTTTTTCAGACAGAATCTGAAAATGATGGAAAGAATTTTGACAAAGGAAGTGTAAAGATATAAAGATTATAATTATGGTTACATTATTATTAAATATTTATTTTTAAGTACTTTTTGCAATTGTCCTTTGATGGAATAGAAGCACCTAAATGTTTGTTGAATGAATGAGGTATTTAGAATTAGGACTTGCTCCATCATCTCGTCTTTTAACCTAAGCAGTAAGTTTCTCTCTTTATAAAAGGAATGCAGAAGGCAGAATAGTTTGGTGATTCAATCTCCTTATTCCTTTTTTGACTAACACTTCCTGGCATTATATCCTTGGCCAGGTTATTCACTATTTATTTTTATTTATATATTTACATATTTATTTCCCTTCAAGATAGATATTACTAATATCCACTTTTTACAGTTGAGGACATTGATTCTTGGGTATCTAAAGTAACAGTCTCATACTTTGGAAAGTTGGTAAAAGTGGTTGACTTCAGACATAAACATGAGAATCTACCTCCAGAGATTTTGCAGTTTACATTCAGTGATGTAAAGAAATTAGATGAAAAATAGGACTGATTCTTAGCAAGAAAAAGAGACACCGTTACTAGGTCTTGGGAGAAATTTGAGACAAACTTCTGGGAAGTCTTGCATGAGTGGATAGGCTGACGCTCTATCTACTGAGCCAAGCTGGCTAGGGCCATTTATGCTTTTTTTGAGGTGCTTAGCTCATGCCTTGTATTAGAACGCTTTGTGTACTTGTTTTCCTTGTACTTTTAGCTCATGGGTGGCAGGGGCCTGTGGGCATCACTTGTGTTGTGCATATGGCGATGCCAGACACAGCTGACTGCGGCACGTGTGATCTCTATTCCTCCCTACAGCCTTGGGAGGCATACGGCCAGGCTAACACATTCTTCACCCTTCAACTGGTAGCTGCTCATAAATACATATTGAGTGACTAGGAATGCCATTTAATATGCTGCTTTATGCCTCAGAACCCTAACTGCTACACGAGTAAGAAGCTAATATGCTCAGAGCTGCGTAGGTAAGGAACGCTTGCACAAAATGCAAAGGAAAATCCAATTTCACTGATTTGGTACAGTTTTAATTAGAACATTGGGGCATGGGTTAAATTACTTGGGGGTCAGCTAAGAAGGGCATTGCAATCAATAAAGTGAAGATAAGATCTCTACTATTTGATTTCAGGCGATTCAGTATAAATGTTAACTCAGCAAAACTGAGGGAAAGTAAGCAAGCAGATCTCAGAGCTCTGAGAGGTGAGTTTTATCCCATTAGTGGGACAGTTGAGATTTTCACACTGTTTAGTTGCTGCAAAGCCCTGCAGACTGGAAGTGTAGCATCTGGTGGTCTCAGCCTGAATAGATAGGCCAGCTTCTTCATTTGCAAATTGGAGGTGAGGAGTGAGAGAAAGCTAGAATAGCAGCCTAAGCATTCCACATGCTTAGAGGGCAAAGGAAACAAAGGTTCCTGCCTGTTAACGTTGCAATAGATGGGCCAGGTAAATCTAAGAAAATGCAAAGCAACTCTCATCCTGCCACCCAGAAATCAGCACTGTCACAGCTTCTGCGTATGTTCTTCCAGGGATAGACTCTTGTATAAGTAGCTATACAGACAGGTGCTCTAAAATTTCTCCCACAACAATGAAATTGTACATGCATATTATTGTGTGATACTCTTTTTTCATAAACATGTTCTTTAATATGTATTGTATTTTTAAAAAAACAAAAACCCACAGTTTCCTATGATTGGACATCTATGTTGTTTGCATTTTTTCACTACTGTAAATGACCCTATGATGCACATACTTACAAGTCTTATTTTCTTAGGGTAAATTCCTATATATACAAATACTGGTTCTGTAGCTCTTATTAGAACTTATTTTTCCAGGTGGGAGTCATATGAGCAGGTCTCTGAATTTATTTTCCAGAACAGCAACTGAAAGGGTTGTGGGAGACAAGCAGAATATCATGAATTGATATCATTTAGACTCCCTGTGCCAGGATGGAACGTCTCCCAAATGCACTTCATACTTAAAGCTACTCTTCGAGTAGTTCTGTCATATTAAACATTGTTGACTGGTTGTTTTGGCAGCATCTTCCACCCTCCCCATTGTATGCCTGTCATGGGATTTGGGGGAAGGATGACTGACATCCTTTCCAGCTCTTGGGGAGGGCTTTTTATTGGGCATAATTCCATCTTCCTTACTTGTGATTGAGTCCCGCTAAGCTCGTGACAGGGGTTGGTCTAATCACTAGGCCCAGGACTTTAATCTTGTGATTGGTGAAGAGGTGTTTGTTCTCCCTCTGAATGAAGAAGCATGTAGCTCCAGGTGCTGTTAGCAGTCTTCCAAGGGACCACAGGGGGGAACCAGCCTTATGGCACACACCCTCAGCTGGGTCCCTGGTGTATGAACTGCTGGATCTAGCCTGGCCTGAAGCCGGTTGGCCCTATTGCTGGACTTGCTATTTATTTGTACCAATACATTCTCATTATTACTTGTGCCACTTTGAGTCAGGGTTTTTTTTTTTTGCGTGTGTTTTTTTTTTTTTTTATTGCCTAATGAATGAAACTGTAGGACAGAGAGATTGTAACACTAACCTACATTTATTTCTCTTTCCAGCAAGTTTTGTCAATTTGCTTATTTTACGACTTCAAAATAGACCTCTCAAAACAACAGCTTTCACATGGCCTACACTAGCCCCACCCCACACAATTCCATCTTCCATCCCTCTGCTCAGTGATTCCCACATCTTGCTCAGGCCTTGACCTTTCCCCTTCCAACCTGCCTTTCCAGCTGCCATTGGCCACTACAGACTTTCACACCACTCCTCCACCTGATGTAGTCTTCACTGAACTCTTTTGCTCTGGTCCACTTTCTCCTCCTTCCCCTCATACCCGCACCCCTAACCCAACAACGACCAGTTTCTGTTCCCTGAATCTGTGCACCCAAATATCCCAACCCGTCTTGACTTTCATTCCCCCAATCTAATCAATAATCAGTGCCTGTTCTTCTACCTCAGAAATGTCTCTGGGATCTCCTCCCCACACCCAGCTTGTGTTCGTGCCACCTTTTCACCTCTCTGTAATACAGCATGACCCTTGTCACAGAATTAAGATCCTGAATAAGCAAAGAACCAGTGCTGTCAAAATACATCCCCCTTCCCCAGTGAACATGTTGGGAGCTGCCTGGCCCTTGAAAATTCCACCCCACATATTATAACACCTGGAAAGATGCCATCAGCATGAGCCAGCCCAAGTGATGTAGTGATCAAAGAAACAGCCTAGCTACCAAAAAGTTATTTCAAAAAACCTAGTTTTTGCATTTTTTCCTCAAGCACTAGCTAAGAGGATATGAAGAGCATGGAAATTCTTAAAGTGTATTTTCTCTTATGTTTCCTTCCTTCCTCCCCCCCTCCACACTTTAACATCTCCTGCCATTGCCTCCTTAAAAAAGCACCGATAACCGATCCCTGGGCTTTCCCCCTTGATACCGTGCCACAGAAGTACAAATAAACCAATTTGCAACCAATGTTGCAAAGAAACCAATTTCTTTTCCAACAGTAAAAGAAATGAAAAGGTAGATGGTTTCTACCATAGATTTTTAAGTTCCAGAATCACAGGATAACACTGTCACTTTCTCTTAGCCCAATTTTAAGTGGGGGAGCTTTTGAACACTTAAATGTGTCCTGTATAAGGAAGCATCAGGTGGGTTCTGCAGAGCCCGTGCCCCGTGTGCATTCCTTGTAGCCCAGATCTTTAGTGGATTCTCAAAAGGCTGTGGGGTAAGTCCTGGACGAGCCCCACAGCCCACGTTTATCATGGTGGGGTTCCTACTAGTAATAGGTTGTGAGGCTTAAATGGGATAGTAATCAAGATAGTTGTCTATGTCAGAGATTTCAGACGCGGGCCCTTCCACCTTGGCTGCAACTTGGTAACACCGAGAGTTTTAATAAATACTGGGTCCCATCCCGTATTCTCTCTTCACTGGGCTGGGGTGCTGCCTGGGCCCGGGAGGGTGTGGGGGTGTGTGTGTGTGTGCAAACTCTCCAGGAGCAGGGGTCGCCAACCGGTGGTCCGTGAGGTCGGAAAGGTTGGCGACCACTGACCAGGTGGAGCAACCGGACTGAACACGTGTTTAGAAACGGTCGCAGGAGGCGCCAGATGATCAGGACCTCAAGTTTGCGTGGTTTTCCGTCTCCTCCTCTTCGTCTCTAAGGCCTCACACCCAGAAACCAGTAACTGTCCATTCACCGACAGCAAGGAATTTCCCCGAAAACCGATAAGACCTGCGCACACCCGTGCACACACGAGCCTGGCCCACAGACGCGCCTGCGGTCTCGGCGCCGCGCCCCCGCCCCGCGTCCGGTCCCGTCCGCGCGCCCCCCCGCTCCCCGCGCGCGCCCGCCCGCGCGACCCCTCCAGCTCCGCGTCCGGTCCCGTTCGCGCGCCCTCACCCCGCTCCCCGCGCGCGCCCGCCCGCGCGCCCCCTCCAGCTCCGCGTCTGGCCCCGTCCGCGCGCCCCCCGCTCCCCGCGCGCGCCCGCCCGCCCCCTCCAGCCCCGCGTCCGGTCCCGTCCGCGCGCCCCCACCCCGCTCCCAGCGCCCGCGCGCTCCCGCCCGCCCGCTCCAGCCCCGCGTCTCGCAGCGCAGCGGCGCCCCCTGTGCCCCGCGCCCAGTCCCGCGCCCACGCCGCCCTCTTCCTCTCGCGAGGAAGCCCGGGCGCCGGAAGTGCCCGAGAGCGCGGCGGCGGGGCGGCGGGGCTGCGCGGAGGCGCCGGCGCGCCGCGGGCCGAGGGAGCGGGAAGCCGCCGGCCTCCTGGGCTGCCCCGGGCTTCTCGCCGGTACCGCCGCGGTCGGGCTCCCGGGGAGGGCGGGCGCGGGGCCCCTGCGGGCCTCCGACCGAGTGTCGTTGCAGAGCCGCCCCCATGCTGCGCTTCCCGACCTGCTTCCCGTCCTTCCGGGTGGTGGGAGAGAAGCAGCTGCCGCAGGAGGTCGTGTTCCTGGTCTGGTCCCCCAAGCGGGACCTCATCGCTCTGGCCAACACCGCGGGCGAGGTGAGTGAGCGGCCGCCGGCGCCCCAGCCTCAGTTTCCCCTCCGCGGGCTGGGCGCGCCACCTGCCCACCCCTCTCCCTTGCCGGCCGCTGTACACTTCAGGTGAAAGTCGAAGGGGCCGTGTACGGGAAAGAGAATGTATATACTTATTTTACCTATTTTGTGGCTAAAATAAGTTCTCACACAATCACACAGTCCTGCCTGCCCGTCTCGTTGGGTCATGTATTTGCGAACTGGGCTTTTGAGGAGCCCATCATGTGCCACTCACCCGTAGGAGCAGGTCCACAGGCCCTTCCCAAGTTCGCTTGCAGTTGAGTAGCAGAAGGAAGATGCGTTATTGTCAGACTTCAGCTGCAGATGTGCATGCGTGCACCTGCCCCAGAGGATGTGTTCAAGCATTTATGTTTTTGCCCACGTTTTGTATTATGTGCTGGATCGCTGCCGCCCGTTAGAAATACAGGGGGGCCTGGACTTACGAGTTAAATTCGTTCCCAGACGGAGCTCGTTAACTCAAGTTACTCTGTCAACTCAATGCAAAAAATCGGCTGAGAGACAGCTGGTATCTCAAAAAACTCGTTAGTCGGGACACTCGTAAGTCAAGGCCCCACTGTACCCTTAAAACAAGGGAGTGAAGTCTCACTGGATTCCTGGTGGGAGGTGCGTGAGTGTTAACAGCATGTCTAGTTGACAGGATATTCATGAGCTGCATCCTGGTTGTACCCAGCCTTCTGCTGAGAGGGCTCCTTATCTGGCAGCCATGTTGTAAGGGAACCTTCACCTGCGTATGCGTCGTCCTCTGGCCTTTTGGCAGGTGTCCTGGCCAGGTGAGGCTTGCGTTGTGTGCAGCGAGCTTGGTAAGTGGATGTAAGAAGGACTTAGGAGCCAGGGAGACTTAGCATTGGGGGCTCCAGCGCTGCGTTGACTGCCCTGCCCTTGTCTCCAGGGTACTGATGTCTCAAGGACCTTCCTCCTCCGCCAGGGAGCTGTGGTGATGTCATTGCTCCGGAGAGGAGCGCAGGTGGTACAGCCACAGCAGGAGGGGGGAGAGAGGTTTTAGGGACGCCAGTGCAATCAGATGGGTAGATGTACTAGTGGGCACTTGTTGCTGCTGTTGTCTCAGTGAGAAGAAGGGGTGCTGTTCAGGAGTGAGGATGGACTGTGAGAAGTTTGAGGAGAAAAGAGAGGTGTGACAAAGCCGACAAGGCAAGTGGATGAGGGAAACCTAATGGGATTGCTGGTCGGAGCCGCACGAAACTAAGGGTCTTGCAGTTGGAGGGAAACTAGTGAGCATGGTTGTGTGTCTCTGCTGTTCTTTTGGCTACTGGGGTGCAGACATGGTTGGGTTTAACCAGGGATGTCGTTTTGCAAGTCTGACGAAGCAAGAGAGGTACAAGGGAAGTATATGCAAGAGTGAAGTATATGCAAGACTGTAATGATGAACCTTGGGTTCTAGCCTGATTAAGTAGGGAAGTGAGCGCATGTGTGGAGTGAGGGACACTGAATAGGTGGTAGAATCCATGGATTGCGTGCCTTGGTGAGGTTGAAGAATCAAAGCTGGGCGTAAGTAGGGATGAGCTGGAAAGAGAGAGGCAGTGATGGAAAGGGGAAGGTTTGAAACTGAGCTTGTTGGAGCATTTGTAGCTTTTGGTAATGACAGGGTCAAAGGTGTGGCCCTGGGAGTTCCTGAGGTGAGGTGGAAGATGTGATCATTGTAGCACAGATAGTTGAGAACTGAAAAGCTATTGAAATTACTAACAGTGAGGATGAGTAAGTGGTGTTGGAAAGTACGAGTGAGCCAGGCAGGAGTCCACGCCTTCCAGGAATGAGGGGAATGCCTTGGGGTCTCTAGATCAGCGGTCGCCAACCGGTGGTCCGTGGGCCACTGGTGGTCCGTGAGGTCTGAAAGGTTGGCCACCACTGCTCTAAATGACTGCAATTAAAGAGGGATAGAGGATGATCTGGTCCGACTGCATAAAATTAAAAGTTAGAGTACTTTGGTGAAGGGAAGAAAAATCATCCAGAAATGGTATTGAGCATCAAGGATGAAACCTACTTCGTCTCCTAGCCCAGCAGTAGTACAGGGGATGCAGGAAGTCAAATGGCCGCCACCTGAGAATCCTGCAGGGAAGCAGTGTCCTCAGGTGAGAAGCACATTTGAGAAAAGAACGAATTCCAGAGGGAGCAGAGGAAGGGTTTCGGAAGTAAGGAAGGGCATAGATGCTCGGGAAAGAGCATTGAGTCTGGGGGTTGAGCGATTCCTTGGGGGGCTTGGCTTTCCAGTAGGGGTCGATGTAACTGGGAGTTGAGGGACTCCATGAGATGAGGCAGGGAGTGGTAACGCTGTGAATGTGGGATACCAAGAAGGTGTGGCAGGGTCCAGGAACTCAGTTCTACCTTTTCTTCCTTATTCTCAATGGTTGTTTGGTTTGTGTAGAGGATGGAGTAGGGACCATCTTATTTTTGAAGTACAAGGAACGCTGGGGTATCATCTTGACCTCCAAGATGGGAACTTACTCGTATGGAAAAGGAAATATAGAATGGCTACATGACTTGCCCAAGATCCATGGCCGGTTGAGTGACAAGGCTGAAGTTAGATCCCAAGTTGTCTGATTCCAAGTTTGCCGTTATTTATATCACTCCTACCTTTCTAGAGCTATTTGTGATTCTTTTTTTTTTTTGGTCATTATCTTCTTGGACAACCTTATTCTTTTCCAAAAGTCAAGTTTTCTGTTGACATAAAGATAGGAAAATGGGCAGAGTATAGGGTTCAATTAGACCTGTTCCACCTATTTTGAAAATGCCTTAAGTTCGTTCAAATACTGTTGTCTTCGTTCTTCTGGTAGCTAAATATACTCAAGATAATTTAAAAATAGTGGGGATCTAGGTTTATTTTATTTTTGGAGATGGATTCTTATGTTCTGCCATTATGTCTCTTTTGTCCTAGGTTTTACTTCATCGACTTGCAAGTTTTCATCGAGTTTGGAGTTTTCCACCAAATGAAAATACAGGAAAGGAAGTGACCTGCCTAGCTTGGAGACCAGATGGCAAACGTAATGATCGTGTTATAAAAAATACGTTTTTATTATTCGCAGAGTATTCTTTAAAGAAAGCTTAACATTGAAAGAATTTACTATTCTCATTATATACTAGAATTTTGAATACCAGTTTGGGAAATTAGTTCTTAAGAATGTTTTAAACTGTTTTATTAGAACTTAAATTAATTCTACCATCTTGTTTCTCCAAAATAAAATCTGACTTCTTGGTGAAGGTAACTCTAAAATGAAATTTGGTAGAATATACAAAATACTTTGGTTTTATTCTCTTCGTTGTCTTGTCCTGCACAATTTGGCCCAAACTTCACCTACCGCTTCCTGGTCAGTTCAGTGCCATCATGGCTCTTTCCCCCCCAAAATGTTTCTTAGCCTTAAATGGATGGCTCATCAATATTCTCTCTGCATGTATGCTTGCCTCACCTGAAGGACTGTCACCTCTGACTTCATTGATTCTATTTCTGTATGATTTTTTTCCTCCAGGTGTCCTTTATTTTGTAGTTTGTTATATTGTAGCTGGCAGTGGCTCTGCGGACGGAACCCTTCTCTCCCATGTGTTGTGTTTACAATGACAGTTGTTATTTAAACTGTTGTACACATACAGTCAGTACAGTAAAATGCTGTAAATCATAGCCTAAAGTTCATTGGTAATCATTGGTGCTTTAAGAAAAAAAACGGAACTGTTTTTGTAAACTCTTTTGTACCCTTCATTAATTTTTTTCTAGCTAAATATAAATATGTAAAAATGCCCTGAAAGCCCATTACTTACAGACAACTATTTTTATCTGTACTCATTAGCTCAGCTGTTGTTTTATTTTATTTATTTATTTATTTTTATTTTTTATTTTATTTTATTTTTTTAATTAAATCTTTATTGTTCAGATTATTACATTTGTTCCTCTTTTTTCCACCCCATAACTCCCCTCCTCCCAGTTCCCGCCCCACCTTCCGCCCTCACTCCCCACCCACTGTCCTCATCCATAGGTGCACGATTTTTGTCCAGTCTCTTCCCGCATCTCCCACACCCCTTTTCCCCCCAAGAATGGTCAGTCCATTCCCTTTCTATGTCCCTGATTCTATTATAATCACTGGTTCATTCTATTCATCAGATTATTTATTCACTTGATTCTTAGATTCACTTGTTGATACATGCATATTTGTTGTTCATAATTTGTATCTTTACCTTTTTCTTCTTCCTCTTCTTAAAGGATACCTTTCAGCATTTCATATAATCCTGGTTTGGTGGTGATGAACTCCTTTAGCTTTTCCTTATCTGTGAAGCTCTTTATCTGACCTTCAATTCTGAATGATAGCTTTGCTGGATAAAGTAATCTTGGTTGTAGGTTCTTGGTATTCATCACTTTGAATATTTCTTGCCACTCCCTTCTGGCCTGCAAAGTTTCTGTTGAGAAATCAGCTGACAGTCGTATGGGTATTCCCTTGTAGGTAACTGAGTTTCTTTCTCTTGCTGTTTTTAAGATTCTCTCTTTGTCTTTTGCTCTTGGCATTTTAATTATGATGTGTCTTGGTGTGGTCCTCTTTGGATTCCTTTTGTTTGGGGTTCTCCGCGCTTCATGGACCTGTAAGTCCATTTCTTTCACCAGGTGGGGGAAGTTTTCTGTCATTATTTCTTCAAATAGGTTTTCAATATCTTGCTCTCTCTCATCTTCTGGCACCCCTATAATTCTGATGTTGGTACGCTTGAAGCTGTCCCAGAGGCTCCTTACACTATCCTCGCATTTTTGGATTCTTTTTTCATTTCTCTTTTCCGGTTGGGTGTTTTTTGCTTCCTTGCATTTCAAATCATTGACTTGATTCTTGCGCTCCTCTGGTCTGCTGTCGGGAGTCTGTATAATATTCGTTATTTCAGTCCGTGTATGCTTAATTTCTAGTTGGTTCCCCAATATAACATCGAGGGTCTCATTAGTTTTCTTGTAGATCTCATTAAGTTTATCGGCGGCTTCTAAACAGTTCTTGAGAGACCTTAAAAGTGTGGTTCTGAACTCTATATCTTCCATTGACAGTTTTGTCCTGTTTCTTTGTCTCCGCATTTTGTTATGCTTCCTTGGTGCGCCAACTAGTGGTCTTTGTGCGCAGTCTTATAGTTAAACCTTGATTGTTGGAGCTAATACCAGGGAGGGTTTGACCTCCAGGCCAAGTGGCTATGAGAATCAGCAGTGTCTGCAGTGAGAGAACTTCTGTCCTCTAGGGAGGTGCTAATCTAGCCTTTGCCTGAGGCTATCCGGCAAATGCCTCTGTGCAGGGCTTGGGCGGGGCGGGTCGCACAGGATCAACAGGGTGGGCTGGAGAGAGCAGTTATGGCGGCTCTCAGTCCTGTCCCCAGGGGCTCTGCCGCTCTGAGTCCCAGCACCCGCTGCAAACCTCGGAGAGAAAGCTGCACTCGCTCTGACCGAAGCCAGACAGTCCCGCTTCTCCCGTTTGAGTCTGGGTCCCTAAAGACTCGCCTGTATCTGGAGCTCAGAGTCTGCGACTCCCTCCCGATTGAAAACGCCAACCTCGCCCTCCGCCGCCAGCCCGCTCCGCGCACTCCGCACCTCAGAATTTGACTTCAGCACTGCGCCTCCTCTGAGTGCCCGTATGCGTTTCTCTTTCCTCCTAGTTGTAGGACTTCCACTCAGCCAGCGTTCCTGTGGTTCTGGGTGATGTCCCTTCCGTTTTTTAGTTTCACTTTTGAAGTAGTTGTTCAAGGCAGCAAACTCCAGCGTTAACCTATGCCGCCATCTTGGTTCTCCTGATTTATTTATTTTTTTTTAAAGTAGCCCTCCAGCGTGGCTCAGTGATTGAGTGAGCATTGACCTATGAACCAGGAGGTCAAGGTTCAATTCCCGGTCAGGGCATATACCCAGGTTGTGGACTCAATCCCTAGTGGGGGGCATGCAGGAGGCAGCCAATCAGTGATTCTCTCTCCTCATTGATGTTTCTCTCTCTCCCTCTCCCTTCCTCTCTGAAATCAATAAAAATATATATATTTTAAAAATACATATAAAATTAGAGGACTTTTGTAAGTAACATCTTGATATCTTGGAGTATTCATCCAAAAATGCCAAGATCTGAAAAATGAATTATGAAAGCCAGTGTGTTAAAAAGTATTTAAGTAGATGATATTTTTATCATTAAAAAAGTCTTGTGTTTTTAGGTATTGGTTATTTCAAGATTGCTTTAAATCATTTTAAAGAGGAGGATACTGGGATTGCCTCACATCTAGCCTAGTTGTATGTGTTGGTATACAGTGAAATCCATAGCCCACTATTCACAGATTCTTAAATTTGATAAGTTAGGAAGATGCCAATGACTTAGGTAGAGAAAGTGTACTTGATAATTCAGTCGCAGTGATGGCTTTGTTTTCCATTAGGGGTTAGAAACAAAAATGGGGAACAAAATGCTTTCCAAGAACTAAGCAGATGGAAGGAATTGCTTCTTGCCTTTTAGGCATGTTTACGGGACCAGTATGTCTTGGTGATACAATATTATTGATTGTTAGTCTGTTGAGACCTGGTTTGTATTTTCTGCTTGGCTGCTGGGTTCCAGTTTAGAGGCTTTGATGTGCAAGATGCTAAGTACAGTTCACGAGGAAGAAGTAGATTATTCATGAAAGTTTGAGCATTTGAAAGTAAGCTTAGATAACAGCTTAACTATATGCAAAGCTGTAATTTAGGTTTTAAAATATTATTTAAAGAAAGGATTTTTTAAGTTTACTGATTTCTGTGATCACAATGTATTTAAAACTAGAGGCCCATTGTATGAAATTTGTGCAAAAGTAGGCCTTCCTTTCCCTGACTTCCCTCTGTTACCTGGGACCTGGGCTTCCCTTGCAGCCCTGGCTTTGTCCGGAAGGACATTGGTCTAATTAGCATATTAACGCTTTTATTATTATAGACTAGAGGCCCAGTGCTCACATCATGCACTGGGGTGGGGTCTCGTAGCCCAGCCTGTGCCTTCTCGCAGTCTGGGATCCCTCGGGGGAGCGGGCCTAAGCCAGCAGGTGGACATCTCCCAAGGGGTCCTTAGTGCTGCGGCAGGCAGGGGAGCCTCCTGCCACTACCGCTGCATTGCCAGCCTGTGAGCTGGGTTTCTGGCTGAGCAGCGCTGCCCCTGTGGGAGTGCACTGACCACGAGGGGGCAGTTCCTGCATTGAACGTCTGCCCCCTGGTGGTCAGTGTGCATCATAGCGACTGGTCGTTCCATCATTCAGTTGATTTGCATATTAGGGTTTTATTATATAGGATAATAAAACTGGGCAGGATGTGAAATACCCATGTATTTTTCTTGAATGTTACACTAATTTTTTCTGATGATACCTTTTTCTGTTAGTTTTGGCCTTTGCTCTTGCTGACACCAAGAAAATTGTTTTGTGTGATGTGGAAAAACCTGAAAGCTTGCACTCCTTTTCTGTGGAGGCCCCAGTTTCTTGTATGCATTGGATGGAGGTGACGGCAGAAAGCAGGTAAAGTAATTCAAAAAGAAAGAAAATAAAAACCCCAGTAGTCACAATAGGATGGAATTCGTGAAATTTTCATTTTTTAAAATGGGTACTTAGGGATATCTGTATGTTAAGTATGTGTGTACATTGAATTTAACTTTTGTATTTTTAAGTTTATCAAGATAAACATTCTTTTATGCTTTGTTAGATTTTTTTTTCCTTCTAAAAAAAATCTGGTTCTTTACGGAGCAGGAATGTTTGAATGTCCAAGCTTTTTCTTTTTAGTTATTTTTGTAGTTTGCATTACTGCTCTATATTTTCGAGTAATAGCAATTAAAATGGCTGGTTCGCACATTGAGGTTCTGTTTTGCTTTTCACTATTTATTTTGTCGAAAGCTTTGTTTTTTTTTGTGCCTTAGTAAATAGTCTCAGAGTATGAAAAGTGCTGAATGGAGCATTCTGTTTGATGTTACACGGCTTCTTTCTGTGTCCATGGCCCCCAGTAATTTCCTTATTTTATGGAAATAATTTTGTCTTAATCTCTGTAGTCAGTAATAACCAGTAAAAATGGCCTAAAGGATCAGTGGGTTTAGGGAATACTGAAAATAAAAGCTTTTTTGAGTAAATGTGATAATTTTCTTTCCATTAGCGTTTCCTTTCTAATTAAGTTTTAAATTAATATCAAATTAATTTGTAAAATCTGAATGTTAATTGACAGCTTTCCTAAGGGAGACTTGTAAAGAATTGGATACCAAGGATCTAGCCTGGAGTTTGAAATTCAATGTAGATAAAACAGAGTGATTAATCTGTCATCAGATAATCAAGAGTGACTAAGGGTCATGTGGGTTTGCAGAAGGTTAGAGGAGCAGAGTATACTATGTAAGTTCTACACCAGACTAGTTAGCTGCTAAGTGTATTTCTAACACACTTTCTACAAATAGTTTAGATATGTTTTCTGGAGATTCCAGGGTCTCTTGGGATACCTAGTTTGTGTTAAAGTGGGGAAAAATTCTTCCCAAGTCACCACTTTTTTTTTTTTACCTTCTCATTTATTTCCAACCTTACTTGGGGTAGAATTGAGGGGGAAAGGGAGGTAAAAAAGACTGTTTCAAAATGCATCGTGTCGTCTTATATACCTGCTGGGTTGTCAAAGTTCCAAATGTAAATAAGCCATAGGACTCATAATTAAATGCTAAAATAATTGTAGTGTTCTTTAAAAGTACTCTCCTATTCAGGTCTAGTGACGGTTCTTAGATGAGAGTTAAGGAATCATTCATCTCAGTCAGTATCTAATACTAACCACGTATGAGTGTATTTTATATGCTGAGATAATTGTTTTTTAATATTTGTTCCACTAAATGTAAAGTGGCCAGACTGATTTTTTTTGCAGAAATAAACCCTTTTGTAAATGAAGAATTTCCTACGGATTTTCTGCTCTCCTGCTTCTTGTTTGTGATTGTTATGACTTTTTTACAATGGTAAAAATATGTGTGGCATTTATTTACTTGGTAACGTATAATGTATAAATGTATAACGCATAATGTATCAAACTGGGTATTTTAAAAAACTAGTATATTTTTAAATGGAAAGAGAAGTAAAATCTTTTATAATACTTGTTTTTCTGTTTTTTAGTGTTCTAACATCCTTTTATAATGCTGAAGATGAATCAAATCTTCTCTTACCTAAATTACCTACATTGCCAAAAAAGTAAGTATCAGAGTTTAATTTCATTGGAATTAATCTTACAGATTTCTGTCGACTTTTAACACTGTGACAATTATCTCATTTGTTTTAAAAAATATATTTCTAGTAAGAGTATTTTTTACCCCAATCTCTGTTTTTCTCTAGCTATAGCAACACCTCAAAAATATTTAGGTAAGGCATGACTTTTTTGTTTTCAAGTAAGAGAATCTTTTTATTATCTGAAGGATATAGTTGAAAAAATAACCCAATTGTTTTTATATTCTAGTGAAGAAAATTCTGATGAAATTATTAAGCTTTTGGGAGATGTCAGGTAAATTTTGCACATATCTTAAATAACAAGTCTAATTTATTAAAGTTGACATTTGGTATTTGAGGCAGTTTTCAGCGTTTCAAGGGCAATTCCTTTATTTGTGATTATTTTATTGCTGACAAATACCTCTGAACAATATACAGACATTAATATGTATTGTTTACTTGTTTTTATTGTGTGGTCTTTGATTGTGACAAGCTTAACAATATTATAATGTACCTTTGTTTCTTTCAATAAGAAGCAAGAGAGGATTGAGGTACTAGAGTTTCTAAAATTTAAATTTAAATATTTAAGTTCTTTAAGCTTGTTCAGTATCATAGCATGAGAGCCATGATAAAACTGATGGCACTTTGTATTAGCTGGAAAAAGGATTGTTTTGTTACTGAGAGTATACAAATGTAATCATCAAAATAATTGATGCTTATTTTACTGTAAACTGATGTTTTTTAGGCTAGAAAAAAATTGATGTTCTTTTGAAATAATGCAATGAGGCTGATGTGATTGAATATTGAGTATTAGTGAATTTGTTTCATGTTTCATTTCCCCCACAGGGGAGCTTTAGCGTGCAGATTGTATGAGAGCAGGAACAATTTATATCTTGGTTTAAGAACTGCATCTTCCCTGTTGTCCTCAGCTTGTTGCATTATTTTTAATTAGGCTTAATATTCTTGTCCTTGGAGGAAGCTCTGGTTTTATTGAACTTTATGCTTATGGAATGTTCAAAATTGCCCGAGTCACAGGGGTAAGTTTTCCTTTAATTTTTTCTATAATGTTTATCTTAGAATATAGCAGCTAACTGATTTACGAAAAAGAATAAAACACAAAATTACTTGTTCTTAAATGTTAATAGGACACTCCCCTAAGTTCAAAATAGTGTTATGATGTCTGTGAAGATATGGAACTATTGGTGGCATTAATCAAGTTTTTCTTTTTAACAGAAAGGTTGATAGGACACGCTTGATTGTGACTTAATGTTGTTCTAGCCTTGTGGTGGTTAAGAGCTCCAATTTGTGATAGGAATGTGATGCAAGTTGTCAGAAGCTCAGTACTGAGTCTCCATGGTGCCATGGTGGCTAAGTCTCCGTCTTCCCCGTAGCTTTTCCCCCCTTCGTAACTTAATCATCTTCTTGAAAATATTGTAGACCCTGTCGAATATGTTGGTTCTCCAACACTAAATTTGGGGACCCTTGATAACGGTATGCGAGTGTCCATGTGTTGTGTCCTTCCTCGTCCTTGCATCTAGGTGGATGCATACCTTCCTTGGCTGGCTACACAGGCGTGGCAGGAGCCAGGCAGCGTGCTTCTGCTGTTTAGACCTCTGTGAATGTTTGCCTTCTGTCTTGTAAGCAGTGCAGTCTAACAGTAATACTAAGTATGCTGGGGGATTTGACTGTCTTACAGATTGTTGGTACTTGTCTTGCATTGTGTTTATCAAGTGATTTGAAATCATTATCCGTAGTCACAGAGGTCTCTGCCACTGGTGTTTCAGAAGTTTCATACTTTCAGGTGAGTATTGAAACCTGACAGCAGAGAGTAAATCTGTTTTTAAAAGATTTTATAGGTTTTTATAGTTCATATCATCCGAATGGCTCTTAAAACAAAAAGCAAACAATTGACTTGGGGCTTCTAAATCTTACGTGTGGAATCTATATACTAGTATACAAAAGCCTAAGCAACCTGCCGACCGGCCAGTAGCTATAACATGCACTGACCACCAGGGGGCAGATGCTCAGTGCAGGAGCTGCCAAGCTGTGTGACTTGGTAGCTGTGGTTCTCAGGTGGTGCACCCGGAACCAGAGAGGAGGGAGCCTGATTCCAGGGTGTGTCACCTGAGAACCGTCCTCTCGCAATCTGGGACCTCTTGGGGGATGTCGGAGAGCCAGTTTTGGCCTGATCCCTGCAAACCAGGCCGAGGGACCCCACGCACTGGGCCTCTAGTAGTAGTATAAAAACCTATGTAGAGGGGATTGCTAACCAAGGGACAGTGAGCAATGCACACTTAAACACGGCAGAGTAGAAAATCCTAAACTTTGCCCCGGCTGCTGTGGCTCAGTTGGTTGAGCATCATCCCATGCACTGAGGCCACTGGTTCAGTTCCTGGTATGATTCCCATTAGGGGCACATGTCCAGGTTGTGGGCTCGATCCCCAGTAAGGGGTGTGCAGGAGGCAGCCAATTGATGTTTCTCTCTCTCCCCCTCCCCCTTTCTCTCACTTTAAAATTAATAAAAACATTTAGAAACAAAGAAAATCCTAAGGTTTTGTTCTGATACTCTTAAAATTTTGGGGCTCAAAAGGAGAATTCTGACATAGTCTTTCTGATGATACAGAGTTAGATCTTGACTCTTCTGAATTATAGGATTTTGTTTTTTGAACTGGGAGGTACTGCTTTATTTTTTATTTATTTTTATTTTTATTTTTATTTTTTTAAAATATATTTTATTGATTTTTTTACAGAGAGGAAAGGAGAGGGATAGAGAGTTAGAAACATCAATGAGAGAGAAACATCGATCAGCTGCCTCCTGCACTCCCCCCACTGGGGATGTGCCCGCAACCAAGGTACATGCCCTTGACCGGAATCAAACCTGGGACCCTTCAGTCCACAGGCCAACGCTCTATCCACTGAGCCAAACCAGCTAGGGCCTGCTTTATTTTTTAAAAAGTTTTTTTTACATGAGGTATAATTGGCATATAACATTAGTTTCAGGCGTACAACATAATAATTTGGTATTTATGCACACTGCGAAATGATCACCACAATAAGTCTGGTTATCATCCATTATATATACAACGTTATACAAATATATATGTATTTTTCTTGTAATGCTATGCATTAAGTCCCCATGATTTATTCATTTTGTAACTGGAAGTTTGTACCAGGGAAGGACTGATTTATCTTTTTTAAAAGAAGTAAGTGTGAAAAAGGTAAAGGGATTAAGAAGTACAAATTGGCCATCAAAAATAGTCATGGGGATGTAAAGTACAACATAGTGAATATAGTCAATCATATTGTGGTAACTCTGCATGATGTCAGGTGGGTACTAGACTTATTGGGTAATTACTTCGTAAGTTATGTAAATATGTAAGTAGCCCTAGCTGGTTTGGCTCTGTGGATAGAGCATTGGCTTTGGACTGAAGGGTCCCGGGTTCGATTTCGGTCAAGGGCACATGCCAGGGTTGTTTGCTCAATCTCCAGTAGGAGTTGTGCAGGAGGCAGCCGATCAATGATTCTCTCATCATTATTTCTATTTCTCTCTCCCTCTCCCTTTCTCTCCGAAATCAATACAAATATATTTAAATAAATAAATAAATATGTAATCACTATGCTATATATCTGAAACTAATGTAATATTGAAGTCAGTGTAATTAAAAAATACTTAAAAGGTTTTTAAAATTTTTTTTTAAATAAGTGCATCTAATTGTGACTCACTTTATTATTTTGATTTTGCAGCTTGAAACCAATCTATTGTACTCTTTCTTACCTGAAGTAACTCGGATGGCCAGAAAGTTTACTCACATTTCAGCTCTTTTGCAGGTATTTATTTATAGCTTGTTTTATGTGAATATCCTATCTAATAAAAGAGAAACATGGTAATTGGCGTACGACCGCTACCCTTCCCATTGGCTAATCAGGGCAATATGCAAATTAACTGCCAGCCAAGATGGTGGCCGGCAGCCAGGCAGCTTGAAACTAACATGAGGCTTGCTTGCTTCAGTGACGGAGGACTCCATCGTTCCCCGCCTGCGCTGCAAGCCTCTGAGCTGCAACTCTAAGCAACTATGTAACAAATACAGAAGCTAAACAAAACCCCAGAAACCTGCTTTAGTCCGCCGGGCTTCAGCCAGCAGGATCGTAACATTGTAAGCAAAGGCCAGAAACCTACTTTCAGCAGCGGAGGCCTAAGAGCTGGAGCCAAGCCTCAGAGCTAAAACTGGCCCAGAATAAAAAAAAAAAGTAAAAAAGGAGCGGTTGGGAGCTTCAGTCACCCCCAGCCTGAAAACAGCCCTCAGCCCCTCACCCAGACTGGCCAGGCACCCCAGTGGGGACTCCCACCCTGAAGGGTGTGTGTCCAGCTGCAAACAGCCATCATCCCCTCACCCAGGCTGTCCAGGCACCCCAGTGGGGACCCCCACCCTGATCCAGGACACCCTTCAGGGCAAACCAGCCAGCACCCACCCGTGCACCAGGCCTCTACCCTATATAGTAAAAGGGTAATATGCCTCCCAGCACCGGGATCAGCGGAGCCGCGAGGCCTCCCGGCACCGGGATCAGCGTGACGGGGCAGCGCCCAAACCCCCTGATCGCCCTGCAGCTCTGTGTGTGACGGGGGGCGAGGCCACAACCTCCCTATCCACCCTACTCTGTTCGTGACAGGGGAAGGCGCCCCAACCCCCTGATCAGCCCTGCTCTGTGCCTGATAGGGGAGAGCTCCCCAACCCCCTGATCGCCCTGCGGCTCTGTGTGTGACAGGGTGCGGCGCCCCAACCCCCGCCCCCCACAGGCCCTGCTCTGTGTGTGACGGGGTAGAGACGTAACCTCCCCATTGGCCCTGCCCTGAGTGTGAGAGTGGCGGTGCCCCAACCCCCTGATCAGCCCTGCTCTGTGGGTGATAGAGGGCGGCGCCCCAACCCCCTGATGGGCCCTGCTCTGTGCGTGACAGGGGGCAGTGCCCCAACCCCCTGATTGGCCCTGCTCTGTGAGTGACGGGGTGGCGCCGCAACCTCCCCATCGACCCTGCCTTGAGTGTGACGGGACGGTGCCCAACCCCCCAATCGGCCCTACCCTGAGCGCGACTGAGGGTGGCATCACAACCTCCCGATCGCCCTGCTCTGTGCATGACAGGGGGCGGCGCCCCAACTCCCCAATCAGCCCTGCTCTGAGCCCGACCAGGGGCTGCACCTAGGGATTGGGCCTGCCCTCTGCCACCCGGGAGCAGGCCTAAGCCAGCAGGTCGTTATCTCCCAAGGGGTCCCAGACTGTGAGAGGGCACAGGCTGGGCTGAGGGGCCCCCATCCCCCCCGAGTGCACAGATTTTTGTGCACCGGGCCTCTAGTTTATTATAAGTTTCTAATGTTCTATAAATAACAAACTTGAAAATTTTATTTTGTAAAGCTAACTATCTGTAATAGAGGTATCTAGTCTGATAGATAATCTTACAATGTCAATTAAAGCAAGAAAAAGAAATGTAATAGAAAATCTCCCATCCATCTCTATTTCTCCAAAAAAAAGAGGAAAAAGTAGTTTAAATCATTTTAAATATTCCCAGAAATAAAATAATATCTTGGAATTTTTAAAGTTTTATTGTAAAGAAAGTATTATGGAAAACAGTCATCTTATCAGTTAGCTTTGGTACTTAATAAATAGCCCCTGATTCTGTAGGTTGGTGTCTTAGTCGACAGTTCAGTCTGGGCTCAGATGGGAGGTTCTGTTGATCAGGACCAGGTTTAGCTAATTTCGGCTGGGCTTGGTCTTGCATTGGGTAGTCAGCTGGCTGATCTAGGTGTCTCTGAGCTGTGCTGGTTTGTCTATGCTTCACCTTCTCATCTCACAGCGGGCTAGCCAGGCTTGTCCATGAAATAGTGGCAGAAGCAGGGGTGTCAAGAATGCAAGAGGTGTACAAAGCCTTTTAAGGCCTTAGATCCACAGTGTCACTTCTGCTTTGTGTTGATCACAGCAAAGTACAAGGCCAGATTTAAGGGCTAGAGACATCCACTCTGTCTGGATAGAGGGGCGACGTGGAATTGTAGCCTTTTTTTTTTTTTTTTTTTTTTCCAGTCTCCCACACTCACTAATTGACTTGATGTCGAAGATTTCGGGAGATCAAAATCTTTTTAAAGATCCTGTTTGAAAATTGAATAGCTGACCAAACCAGCATTTTGACAGTTTGTGTATGTAAGACATACATGTCAAAAGCTGGAGGACGTTTGTTTTATCATATAAAAACTTAATGTAGGAATGTTTGATAGTAAAGTGATTACCAAATGTTAGCTACAGTCTTTTTCTCTGGCTTAACTGAGTTAAAAGTGATTGAAAGTAAACTCTGGATTTCTTTGAGACAATAGACAGGAAGAAGCACACATTATTTAGTTAGCATATTGAGTTAAATACTTTTTACCATACTGACATTTTCTTCTTTTTGTGAATAGTATGTGAATTTGTCACTAACATGTATGTGTGAAGCCTGGGAAGAAATACTGATGCAGATGGATTCTCGTCTCACCAAGTTTGTGCAGGTAATGCGCCTGAGCCTCCCACAGAGTGAAGAATGCTTGGTGTCCTTATTCACGTTACAAGGTGCATGAGAAAGATCGGTCTGATTTGAAAAAGGCTAAGATCAGGTTTTCTTTCACATGTCTTGGTTTAACCTCAGGCTATTTTCTCAAAGAGAAAGGACTGTCTTCCCATTGGCATAGCTTAGGTGGGGACAGGATGGTGAAGTGGGCCAGGTGGGGCTTGGGGAATAAGGACAGCTGTTGGAAGAGCTGATTGGCTGTTTCCCAGTAACTGACAGGTACATAATCCATTTGAGGGAAGGTTGAGGAAAAGGAAGGGAGTTATGCTCCTGTAATTTTGAATACATATGCTTATAATTTAAAACCTTTGTATAATTTTATCCATTTCGATTAGGAAAAGAACACAACCACATCAGTGCAAGATGAATTCATGCACTTGCTGTTGTGGGGGAAAGCTAGGTAATAAACTCATGTTTGGTACTTCTGCTTTTTCTTCCTTTTTAAAGTAATTTTTTATTTCAAAAAATATTCATTGTAAAAATATTTTAAAATTGTGGCACACAAGAACAAAAGATAGTATATATCTTTTTCTAGGCTTTTCTATGGACATGTACATTTTTATGTAAATGTGATCATTTTGTATGTGTATAATATATATTACATATGTATTTTTAAATGTATAAAAATTTAATAATTTTTATATAGCGAAATTAGTTTTTTTCTTAAATAGTTTTGCCTTAGCATTATTCTTAAAAAGACTTTTCCCATCTGATGAGTATTCAAAGATTGATTTGTGTTTTCTTCTGCATTTTTTTATGGTTTATCTTTTATTTCATTTACATGTCCCAGATGTGATTTATTTGTTTATACGTATGAATATTATACATTCTCCTCACTGCGTTGAAATGCCACTTTAGCATAGAGTACCTCCTCATATACGCTTCAGTCCGTTTCTGGACTTGATTGTTTCCTTTTACCAGTACAACAGACGCTTGATTGTTGCTGGGCTGTTTCTTTTTGTTTAAAAATCTTGTTTATTATTTTAAATTTAAAAGGTTTAAGACTTAAAAACACTTTCTTTTTCATTGTAGTGCTGAACTTCAGACCCTCTTAATGAACCAGTTAACAGTGAAGGTGTGTGTGGTTAAAGTGCCCTAGTGTTTCAGTGGCTATGAACACAGTCTTAATTTTTTTTTTTTTTAGAATGGCATATCATATCTTGCTTGCATATTAAATATATTTTCTTCTCTTAATTAGGGCTTAAAAAAGCTTGGCCAGTCTATAGAGTCCTCATATTCCAGTATACAAAAATTGGTTATAAGTCACTTACAGAGGTATGAAGGTTTTGTAGAATTTTTTGGTATTGTATTTGCATGTACTGGGTGTTGGTCTTCTTTCTGTCTTCTTTCTCATCATCATCTGTCATTCTTTTTTTGAGCCCTTTCTAGTGAAAATTACTGCATTGGTATTTGAGGTAAATCTTGGAGTACCCAAGATATAAGAAATCAGTCCTGTAATTCTGCTTTATGAACTTGTTTTCCAACATCTTTTCACCGGGGTAGGCCCCGGCTGGGCTGTTTCCTCAGCCAACAATGAGGCATATTTTGAAAAGGGCATTTACCCCTTTTTGAGCAGTGAATTGAAGTATGTTTGTGTATCATTTTTAAATTTACACAGCATGTTATGTACTTTGGCATTTAATACCTTGGAAAGGTGTTGATTAGATTACCCTCGTTTTACATAAGAAGAAACAAATTCTTCTTATTTCATGACCAGAATGGTCATGGCTGATCCAGCATTACCAAGTGTCGGAGCTGGACTTTCTCCCCGATCTCCGAGTCCCTGCTGCTGCTCTCTACAGCCTCTCAGCAAATCAGTGGACAGGTGGATGCATGTGCTCAGTGTTTGACTTAAAATTTGATAAACCCCTTTATGCGGAGTCCCCTAATCCTTCATCACCTTTCCCTTGGATCCCTGCAAGTACCCTTTGGACTGGTCTTCTCCAGTCCACACTGTGCCCCTCAAACGTATCCCCGTGGTGGGTCTGAATATTTAGGAATGTTCAAGCAAGGTAAACGTTCAAGGAACATGGGCCTGATCATGTTACTCCTGCTTAAAAACTCCCAGTGCCTTCTCATTCCCAAGGCCTTCGCACACCTGCCTCTGCTGCACCCACACTGATGGCCTCAAACTTGACGTTTTTTTCTCCTCCCTAATGCTTTCATGCATCACTTTCTGGAACATTCCAGCCTGCTCTTCACTTGGCACTCTTTAGCTCTTAGCTCAACTATCACTTGTTCAGAGAGGCCCACCCTTATCCCCCAGGTCAGATTAGTTTCTTCTGTTACACTGCACCGTGTACATTTCCTTCAAGGCATTTATGTGGTTGGAATGATGGAATGTCTGATTGTGTGGCAGTCGCCATCTTCCCCATTAGACTGTCGGTGCCACGGGGACCTTTTCGCTTTCTTCGCCATTATGTTCCCACAGAGTCTAGCACAGTGCCTGTCCTAAATCAGGTTGGAGCTTAATAAATGCTTGCTGAATGTTAAATACAGAGCTGTTGAAGGAACAAGACGATCATAGGACTGTCTTAAAAGTGCCAGGAGTAACTGTGGAACAGGATTTGATTTTCTTGCAAAATTTAATCATCTTGGTCATGTTCTCATCTCGGCAGTTGATGACCAGATGATTCTGCTACAGTTTTTAGCAATAATTTTGAGAAATAATTATTTCTCTTAGAAAAAAAATTTAAGTTACTTCCAGTTTTTATTACTGAATATTCAGGAACGTTCAAGCTAGGTAGTAACTGCCTGCCACCTTGCTGACGGCAACGATGCTAATTTATTTCTGCTCCGTTTAGCGGCTCGGAGTCTTTATTGTACCATCTGAGTGAACTGAAAGGAATGGCTTCGTGGAAGCAAAAATATGAACCTCTTGGATTAGATGCTGCGGGCATTGAAGGTAGTAATTTCATTTCCCAACAGAGTGCATTAAACACACTTTACTTACCTGACAAATGATATGTATTTATTTCCTTTTAGATGCTATTACTGCCGTGGGCTCTTTCATACTCAAGGCAAATGAACTTCTGCAGTAAGTATTGGGGATACCTTGCATCACTGACCTCACACTGTTTCCCCTTTCGCTTACAAATAAGAACCTGGCAAATTGTCGTGATTTTCTTAAAACCAGTTTTAAAGTTTTTGTGAAAATTATGCCTTGATTAAAATCAGCCGATAGCACAGTGGTCTCATAACATAAAGCAGTATTGTCCTGTTCCCCTATCCTTACCCCGGCCCTGTCTCCAGGACCTTTTTGCTCTTTATAAGTGCTGCTATTTTTAGTTCGTCTGTAGGTTACCTCCATATTTCTAAACTGTATTGATGGTTAGAGAACTTTTTTCCTTAACAAAGGAACTTTTTTTCTCTTTTTTTTCTTTTTGCTGCCGGAGAGTTTTGATCATAGGTTTTACTGGTTACGGAAAGGTTAATGATAATGACCCACCTCTCCAACACTGTTATGAAACTTAAGGCTTGGAAGGTCTTCTGAGGTTTAGGAATGAAACATGCAGTATTATTCGCTTAGAGTAATTATCTTATAGGTGGAAGCTTAGAGAGATTTTTTAAATGATATATATTCAGAAACAGTTTCATCAACATGAAGGTGACTTCCACTTCTCATAGTTCATTTAGGGGTACATTTGTGTTAAGCACGAGGAAATTCAATTCTTATGATTCGTTATTGTAAAGACAAAAATATTAACTTCCAAAAATAATATTCAGTGATATTGGAGGTGGTGACAGTACAGATTTAGAATAATTTTCTGTTGGGTTGATGTTTTGTCTTTCTGACCATTATTTATTTTTTTAAACGAATAATGCTGAAACCTGATTTTTTTCTTCTTGTTTCTTTTATTTGCAACGTTAGAAAAGGATTTCATGCTTTTACTGAATGCTAGGAGAGACTATTACATTTGTGGCAAGGCTGTTATAACCAGTTAGAATAGGAGTTATTTGTTTTATTTTTGAAAAGAATCAGGATTTGCTCTTTTGAAATTTTATTTTTAGGGGGGTGTGTGTGTGTGTGATTTGTAAAATCTGTTCTAAAGGCTTACCTGTCATCAGATAGGATATAACAGGACAGTAAGGATTATTATATGCCACTGTGAAAAATGTTACATGAACCTATGTAATAATTTCATTTTCGATTTATTTTTATCTCTTTAGAGTTATAGATAGCAGTATGAAAAACTTCAAAGCATTTTTTCGGTGGCTCTATGTGGGTAAGTTAAAGCATTCTTGTTATTCTCACACTTTTGTTTTTAAACTGCAGCAATATCAATCTAGAATATTTACTTTAGTAAAATTTCAAATACCTATAAAAGTAGAGAGAATAGTATAAATGAACCCCTTTCACCCTTCACCCAGTTTCAGCTGTTTTCATCACATGGCCAGTCTTATTTCTTTATCCATCCATCCACCCCCACGTCCTCTCAGATGAAACTTGTAGCATTGGTTATCTCTGTCACTCACTGATAATTAGCCTTTGTTTAATGTATTTTTTTAAACCTTATTCAAGGATATGTTTTTATTGATTTTTAGAGAGAGACACGAAGGGGAGGAGAGAGGGAAGGTGGGAGAGAGAAACATCGATGAGAGAGAGAGAGAGAGAGAGAGAGAGAGAGAGAGGGGAACCGAGAAACATCCATGTGAGAGACAATCATCAGTCAGTTGCCTCCCTTATGCACCTGAACCGGAGATCAAACCTACAACCTGGGAATGTGCCTTGACTGGGCATCAAATCTGTGACCCTTGATACATGGGATGACGCTCCGGCCCACTGAGCAATACCAGCCAGGGCTAATTAAGCTTTTTTTTTTTTTTAACCTTGTTTAACCCCTTAGGTTAAAATAACATTTTTGAGCCCAGCCAGCATGGCTCAGTAGTTGAGCATTGATCTATGAACCATGAGTTCATGGTCGAGTCCCAGCAGGGCACATGCCCAGGTTGCAGGCTCAATCACCAGTAGGGGGCATGTAGGAAGCAGCCAGTCAATGATTCTCTCTCATCATTGATGTTTCTCTCCCTCTCCCTTGCTCTGTGAAATTAATAAAAAGGTATTAAAAAATTTTTTTGAATCTCTGTTATGTATTAGGCATTGTTAGGTGTTAAAATTAATAGAGAGAAAAATAAGACACAGCCTGTGCCCCGAGTAGCTTATCTCCTGTTCTATACTTTGGTTTTCCGTCTCTAGATCTATGTAGTCCATATGGTAGCCACTAGCCACATGCAGCTATTTAAATTAGCTGAAGTTATGTAAAATTTTATATTCAGTTCCTTCGTCATGCTAGACCAGTGATGGCGAACTGCGTGTCAGAGGTGACACGCGAGCTCATTTTTTTGGTTGATTTTTCTTTGTTAAATGGCATTTAAATATATAAAATAAATATCAAAGATATAAGTCTTTGTTTTACTATGGTTGCAAATATCAAAAAATGTCTATATGTGACACGCCACCAGAGTTAAGTCAGGGTTTTTCAAAGTGCTGACACGCCGAGCTCAGAAGGTTCGCCATCGCTGTGCTAGACACACCTGAAGTGCTCAGAAGCCACATGGTTAGGGGCTCTGTGTTGGCCAGCACAAACTAGAACATTTCCGTCGTCACGTCCATTGGACAGTGATGCTGTAGCTAAATAGAATGTGGACACTTGTGGCCTTTTTTTTTTTTAATCTCTACACGATCTTTGTCTTTGTAGGTAATTAACATACTTATTGATATTAAAAATTTTAATGTTCACTTTACAGCGTGTGCATATTTTATTGAGGCCCATTTGTACTGTTATTTTTGTGACCTCTTCTTAAAACCTTTGAAGTAATCCAGCATACGTTTTCTTCCAACATATGCAAAGTTTAGTTATAAATAGAATTTATCCCCTATTTGTTAACAACTGTGCAAACCTTCAATTCTGATATTTGAAAACAAACTTCATACTTGTCAGCCTAATATAATTGCTTTTGATAAAATAATGCGGTCTGCAGATGTTGACATTTATAATTCTTATATTTTTCTCAAAATCATACCAACGCCAACCAGGATGGGGAGCCAGAGTGTTTCTCAGGCCAGCCTGTTATTTGATCAGAGTTGTTAATTAGAATGAATTACAGAAAACTTAGAAATAACTTTCTTTTACGGAAGTAGGACTTTGTTATTACTTATAATTTTTGGAGTAATTTAGGCAGCTTACATTCTTTTTTTTTAAAATATATTTAATGTATTGATTTCAGAGAGGAAGGGAGAAGGAGAGATAGATAGAAACATCAATGATGAGAGAGAATCATTGATCGGCTGCCTCCTGCACACCCCCTGCTGGGGATCGAGCCCGCAACCCAGGCATGTGCCCTTGGCCGGAATTGAACCTGGGACCCATCGGTCCATAGGCTGATGCTCTATCCACTGAGCCAAGCCGGCGAGGGCGGCAGCTTACATTCTTACTGCATGTCTCTATGGTAACAAGAAGCGGGATTAGAAGAGGAGTGAATTGCCGGTCAGGCCTCGTTAGAGCAGGACGCAGGGGGAAGCACACTGGTTTGGGCACTGGGGCCTCATGGGAATCTGGCTCTGCCACCTCGGCTCTGTAAACTCGGCTTGCTCTTGTGTAAAATGTCACTCTAGCGAAAGCAGGGACTTCTTTTATTCGCGGTGTCCCCAGCACCTGTGCTACACTCAATAAATAATTTTGGGAAGGACAAATGAATGAATGAGTAGAACTAGAGTATGGCTGGCTTTACCAATAATTTAGAAGTTTGTACTAAAAATAGTTTTAAAATAATCTAGGTTTGCAGAAGCATGTCCAACATGCCTTTTCCTGACCAAACACAAGGAGATCATTCAAATACTGCCAAAGCACAGGCAGCATAAAGTCTTCCTTCACCATATTTGACCCCCTTTACCCTTCCTGTAGTTTTTAGAAGAAAGTAAGTTTTTCTTGGTGAAAAGAGGGTGTTGAAAATTGAAAATTTGGTCCAGTGAAACACATTAGTCTTGGAAAAGCATCTATAATTAAAATTATGTTTGTAGTTTTTCTTTAAAGGTAGTTTTTAAATTTATATTTTCAGCAATGTTGAGAATGACAGAAGACCATGTGATTCCAGAGCTGAATAAGGTAGTATATAACAGTATATTTCTCTAATGTGTTATTTATGCCCTGGTGGAGCTCAGCTTTGCTAGTTGTCTTGGTATTCTTATTATACAGTTATTATTTAATAGGCTGTCAGGCTGTAGACATGAGGCAAATCTTAATAAGCCTTTGTTTTTTATCTCACAAAATACCTTTATTATGGCTAATCTTAGGAGATTTAACATTCTTAAATCTTAAGTACATTTTTATTTTCCTGGGAAATCTGGTACTTAGATATTCATATTTATTTTCTTTCGACTATCAGGATTGTGACAAATAGCAGTGAGGTCTCTTTCCAGGAAGATCTTACAGATTAGGTCAAAGTTCCCAAAAGTGCAGCTCACTCATCCTCACCCCTGCCCAAACTGTCCGATCTGAATAGGTAGTTTTGAGCCTGAAAAAACAGAGAGCAGTAAAATTAGCCTCGGTGGAATAAGTAAGTAAGGGTTGCAGCTTAACACAAAGTAGATCTTCTGTGCTGTGGGTGCCTGGACTTGTCATCCAGGAAAGTTCACCGTTAGCTCTTCTAAGACATCACTCTTACCTTTATATTGGGAGGTAAAACATGTTCATTGTTGGGGGACCTAGATGTGTGCTTTTTGAGGGCTGAAGGACCTGGGAGAGGTGAAGGAAGGGACGTTGCGAGAAGCAGAGGCCAGCGCGAAGCACGCAGTGCTGAGGAGTGCAGCCCTTAGCTCAGCTGGAGGTGAATTACCTGGGCTTACCGTCCCCACCCCCACAGGAGGGACTGCACTGGGCCCAGCACAGGCCTAGCACGATAAGCAACCTTGGCCATGAGAATGTCTGTGGCTATTGGAGTCTCTGATTGGAAAATGGGCTTAAGGGTTTAATTACAGGCTTCTCAGAACCCGGGGATTTCACATGTTCAGAGTGATGTAATCTGGGCTTCTATTGATATTTCCTCAATGGAACTTTGTTTATTTGTCTTATGGCTTTTAGGAGATAGTAAAAAAAAAGTCACATTTATCATTAAATGATATTTCTTTATTGGGAAGCTTTCTTTTATCTTGATTTGTTTTCTTTTTGTTTTTGATAGATGACTCAAAAAGATATCACTTTTGTTGCTGAATTTCTTACTGAACATTTCAATGAGGTAGGAAATTGGTATTTCTGTAATGCTGGTTTTTCTTCTTAATAATTGCAATAGAGCTGGGTAATGGTAAGAAGTGGTCAAATTCAATCCAGTTTAATTGAAGGTCCTTAGCAGTTACGCTTTTAAAAAGCTTGAGCTAATTAATGGCAGTGTTTATTTATTTCACATATAGTCTGTAAGTTGAACTTTTGTTTGATTGTGTGTCTTACAGTCCATGAAAGAAAAGAGTAACTGCCACTAACAGCTCTCTTAACAAAGTTTTTGGCTTAAATATAAGATTGTGTGTGTGTGTGTGAGAGAGTTGATTTATTAATTAAACCGTACTTATCCTTTCTAGGCTCCAGACCTTTATAATCGAAAAGGAAAATACTTTAATGTTGAAAAAGTTGGTCAGGTATGGACTTTGCATTTAATTTAGTGTTGTTTTTTTTTAATTTTTAAAAACTAATTTTAAAACATTAGCAGTGTTAGTCTTTATTACCCAGAGTTTATGGAAAGTAATATAAGGCCAGTTATAGAGTAGCCCTGCCCTTTTAGTGGAGTAACTAAAGAGGAGCAGTTTTTAATCTTTTTGGTCTCAGAATCCTTTTATATTCTTAAAATTATTTAGACCCTAAATAGCTTTTTTGTGGGGCGTATCTATCAATGGTAGATACTATTAGGAATTAGAAATGAAACAGAATAAAATATTTCTTGATTCATTAAAAAATAACAGTTCCATTACATGTTAATATAAATAATTTCAATGAAAAACAACTATCATTTAGAAAATATAACTTAGTAGATAGCGGCATTGTTTTATAATTCTACAAGTCTCTGATGTCTGGCTTAATAGAAGACAGCTGGATTATCATATCTGCTTCTGCATTTAATCTGCTGTGATATGTTGTTTTGGTTAATTATATAAAGAATATCTGGCTTCGTACAGGTGTGTGTTTGGAAAGGGAGAAACATGTTAGTAGCGATTTAGATAATTGTGGGTATTCTCTGATACTGCACCAAATCCTGACAAGTGATGGTATATTAAAGGTTAGTTTCAATGTGGAATCACAATGTGGAATCTAAATTGCATCAGTGGACTTTTCGTTCTCTAATGCACTACAGATCCATTCACCTGCCTGGCACTTTGAATGGGTCTGTCCCCCAGGCATGATTTTGTAATGTCATGTATTGCCACTAGGAAAATACCGGTTCACTGAGTTCTGCACATCTTCCATATGCCGACACCTTTCTTCATACAGAATCCCAGAGTCGGGTTTCGTTACTGTCACCACCGGTCTCATCCGTCTTTAAGTCCCGTGAAGCTGTCAATTACACAGTGACAGATACAGGATTTTCAGAATTTTAATTTTGGCATAAATGTTTAAATCTCATCATTGGCAACCAATACTGGCAAGTTGTTTTGTGTAAAGTGACAGCCTCACTTTCTTTATTTTCAAGAAAATATATCTGCCAAGTACCCAAGAATGGATAATGGTTTTTTGCCAGTCATTCTCTCATATGAAAATGGAATTCCATTAACAGCAAAAAAGTGCCCGGCTACGTCACAGCTGCGCTGTCCAGTGCTCTCCCTGTTGGTGTGCAAAAGTAGAAGTACCTTATGGATGCTTCCTGGTGCTGTCACACAGGACATTAAAGAGAACCGTACTCCACGGTTGAGTGTTAATGAAATCAATAATTTCAATAGCTTCATCAGAGATGGTGAAACTGGGGGTGTGTGGCAAAGAGGAAGACAGTGGCGGCTAGGAAGGTTTGGTGCTACTGCTCGACGCTTGGTGACGATGCCGGGGATTTTCCCACCCGAGCTTTTGATCATCAGTGCAAGTGTCATTCCAGCGAAAGGGCACACAACAGCATGGCATCACTGTAAGAACAGTACCGACCTCACGAGTCCCTGAAAGCGTCCGTGGCCACAGGTTGAGAACTACTGCCAGAGTAGATTGGCAGTTGATACTTTTTTCAAATTAATTTATAGACTTACATGTATAAGCTTAAAATATGCTTCATGAAAATAGAACTCAAAATTTAAATTCAATTTACGGCCTGTACGTTTACAGCATTCTGATCTTTTAGTCGTTAGCAGTTTCTTTAGTTGCTTGGTATTTAGCAAATTTTGATCACCTCCCTTAGAATAACAGCATGGCACTTTCCAAGAGGACTTGGCAGTAAAACAGACTAACTTATTACGTAGAAGAATGTTAAATGTAAACAGTTTGAAGCCTGATCTTAAATTCTGTGTTTGTAGTATTTAAAAGATGAAGATGATGACCTGGTGTCACCCCCTAACACAGAAGGAAACCAGTGGTATGACTTCCTTCAGAACAGCAGCCACCTGAAAGGTATTGCATGGGCCCAGGAGGTGTTGGCCAGCGCGTTTATTATTTGAGACCAGTGCACCCACTCATGGTTTTGTTGAACCCTTGCTGAGTACTTACCTAAGTTCTTTAGATTTATCTTCTGTGTCCATTTTATTTGATTAGAGAAACAGTAAAAAAACAAAGTGTATGACATTACCATGATCAAAAACACTGTTAACTGCGCTGTAGTAAGATTGCTTATTCTTAAGTATGATGTTGTCTATATGGCACCTTATAAAAAATAGGTAGGATATTGCGAAGAAGACTAAAGAGCCTGCTAGTCAGAGGAGTCCGCTTGGCCGGTGCCAGTTTGTTGACTCCTAAAAGTGGACGCATCCGTGTATTCTCCTGAGGTTGCAGCTTTCCTGTTTCCTTGTTACGCCTTCCATTTTCTAGGATCTTAAAATGTTGGTGTGGTAAAACCTTTCCTACCCAGCATTATCAGGGATGCAACACAAAACAGCAGCCATCCTATACGTCCGAAGATCACCATTTTAGATGAGAATATTTTAAAAGTGTTCTTTGCTTTCTGAAAGAGTAATCTGACCAGTTTAGCTATTTCTTAGATCCTTACATGTATTATCTCCTTCAGTCCTGAGAAGAACCTGTGGGGAAGGTCCTGTTATCCTCATTTTACTAATGAGGAAACAAGGCTAGAGAAGGCCCAGGCACATACAAGTTAGTAAGTGATGGAGCTAGGATTCCGCTAACTAGAGCCGAGTTTTTAACTGGACTCGGATGTAATCTCTGCCACTTGGATCTGGTTGCTGCTTATCCGAATGAGTGACTGAGGGAGGGAGGCAGGGAGAGCAGGAAGCGGGAGGAACTCTCTGAGGCCCAGAACTTTGCTTATTGCTCTTGTGTTTTAACCCTGGGAGTCCATTCTTTTTCAGGGCAACAAATACTGGATGGGGCAAAAGTAGGTTTTCAGTTGTTCATATGGAAAATAATACAATAATTAATAAAATAATCCAAGAATAAATTCTGTTTTGCATACTCACAACTGACAAAGCACATCTGACACCCAAATTAGAGGGTTTTTTCCTCATGAGACCAGTTGCGACATCGAGTGTGTGTCCTCCAATTTAATCCTGACACCAGCTACGTGAATTAGCACCGGACGCTGCCGTTTAGAGGCTCAGCCCCACAGGCTGCCCCCACTTCTGACTTCACTCACAAGTGTGGGGACCCCAGGTGATCCATGTTTCTGTCCCACTTGGCGACAAAGTTGCGGGTTCCCAGAACTCCCCTTCTTCAAGTTTGATAATTTGCTAAAATGGTCCACAAAATTCAGAGAAAGACCATGATCACTGGTTTATTATAAAGGAACAACCGACTAGAAATGATGCACAGGGCAAGGAATTGGCAGGGGGCACGGCGCCCTCTCCCAGTGCACCACCTCCCAGAACCTCAAGGTGCTCACCTCCCCGAGGCCCTCCAAGCTCCGTTGTGGAGGGGTCTTACGGAGTTTTCATTATGCAGCCATGGCTGATGAAGGCATTGACCACTGGTGATTGAGCTTAACTCCACCTTCTCTTCCCTTCCCAGATGTTGGGGGTTGGGGCTGAAAGTCCCAAACTTCTGACCAAGGCTTGGCCTTTTTTTGTCATCTGTAAAATGGAGAATATGATGCTTTCTTTGTACAAGTATTGTAAGCAATTATAGCCCTGACCGGTTTGGCTCAGTGGATAGAGTGTTGGCCTGCAGACTGAAGGGTCCCGGGTTCGATTTCAGTTGGGGGCATGTACCTTGGTTGCGGGCACATCCCCAGTAAGAAGGTGTGCAGGAGGCAGCTGATCGATGTTTCTCTCTCATCGATGTTTCTAGCTTTCTATCCCTCTCCTTTCCTCTCTGTAAAAATCCAATCCTATCTAATAATAGACAAAGATTGAAATTGACCATACCTTTGCTACGCCTCCCATTGGCTAATCAGTGAGATATGCAAATTAACCACCAACAAAGATGGCAGTTAATTTGCATATGTAGGCGTGAAGCGGTGGAGCGAAGACTGAAGGCGGCTCCGGCCAGAGCAGTGAGGGCTGTGAAGGCGGCCCCGGCCAGAGCAGTGAGGGCTGTGAAGGCGGCCCCGGCCAGAGCAGTGAGGGCTGTGAAGGCGGCCCCGGCCAGAGCCGTGAGAGCTGTGAAGGCGGCTCCGGCCAGAGCAGTGAGGGCTGTGAAGGTGGCACCGGTTTTCCTCCGGCACCCAGGACCCAGGCCTATTGCACGAATTTTTTCGTGCAACAGTCCTCTAGTAAAATATATTTTTTTAAAAAAACTGCTATAAAAAGAACCTAGCATAGTTGGTGTCAGTAAATGCTAAATTAGAAATTACTTTCTACTGAAAAAGTAGCCTTTTTACAAGTAAAGAGCTTATTTTCATTGCACTGGTTTCTTGTCTCCTGTGTCTGTTTTTAGTATCACAGTCTTCCAAAACAGCACCAGACTGCTGTTGTCACACCACTGTGGCTAAAAAGAGAGAAGAATGGACTGTGTTTCATTATATGTCTTATGGTTCCCAAATCTCCCCTTTCTTCTTACAGCCAACAGAAACGCCCTGTTGGATTTCGGTGGGAAAAGAGCATGTGGAGTAACAGGCTGCTCGGACTCAGCTTGTAGCCAGTGTGGTTGTATCCAGTGGGCGGTCAGCAGGGGTGACAGAAGGCAGGGGTGTTTTTAGTGAGGTGGTGTGAAGGGGTGACGCAGTGTCCAGGGAGAATCCCACCCTCACCTAAGCGGTGTGGGCTGGCTCTAATGACAGATATTTCCTTCTAATCATCTGGTCGACTATAGCTTTGTTTGTTTCTGTTTTTCTTTGAAACCAGAAAGCCCTTTGCTGTTTCCCTATTATCCTCGAAAGTCATTGCATTTTGTGAAAAGGCGGATGGAGAACATTATTGATCAATGTTTGCAAAAGCCAGCAGTAAGTTCGAAATGCATGCCTTTGTGTAGGAGCAAGAACATCTGTAGTGTGTGGCTCATTTATGTTAATGATCATAGTTATTAAGGTGAACCATAGAAAATGCGTTTGACTAACAAAACTGGCAGGTTTATATGGTTCCCCCTAATATTTCCTCTTAGAGTTTCTTACACACATTAAAGACAAAAAGATGAAAGCGTTGGCATCTTTAGTTACGGAGCTGTTGTGTCTCTTGTTTACTACCGAAGGGTGGGTGATTAATGCTGTGAGACTGCAGGGGTGGTTCTCAGGGGGCTACGTGCTTATCTCCAAGGTGCTTTCCAGCTCAGAATTGTCTCTCTCTTTCCCTTACTGTCATGACTGTCATTAAAGTTTCTTGTGTAAAGGGTTTGATGATATAGATGATTGTTTTACTAGACTTAACCAATGCTGGTCATTCACTTTCTGTACAGTGTTTTTCTGCTCTGATGATATTTTAAATTTTATTTTATTTAGGATGTAATTGGAAAATCAATGAATCAAGCAATCTGTATCCCATTATATAAAGATACTAGAAGGTAATTCTATTTGCCTTTTGGGTGGTATAATTCAGCAGCCAATTTAAAATTTTATTAATTTTTTCCCTTTTGTTTTAGTGAGGACTCTACACGTAGATTGTTCAAATTCCCTTTTCTGTAAGTGTGTGTTTCTTCCCTATCATGTGAACAATACAGTTTTGTTCTGTGCATTGAAAACTGCATAGCATGTTTGACATTAATTTTTTTCCCTTAGGTGGAATAATAAGACTTCAAATCTACATTATCTTCTTTTTACTATTTTAGAAGATTCAATTTATAAAATGTGCATCTTAAGGAGACATACTGATATTTCCCAGTAAGTGTTCATCTGAAGTTTGAATCAGAAGAGATAAGATTTTATTCTGAATCATAAAACATACAGCTCCTCTTCCCTACATTTCAGGTTTTGCTTAACCTGCCTTATGACTTGTCCCTGAACTGTACTCAGTCTTAGTTTTCATGTCACTAGGTAGACGATGGTGCCAGATGAGGAGGCTATATGATCCCTTCTGATTCCAGAGTATCCGATTTTGTATTGGTGTCTAGCAGTTACATGGAGGATGGTTTTTAGGCTTAGGAAAAATCAAGAGCAGAACACTCGGGATTACATCCCATGAACCTGTAGGAGTTCAGAACTGTACTTTGGGTTCCTTATAGGAAGGCCTTTACCTGAGGTTAAGGATGCCTTTCATTCAACAAGAGGCCTCACCCACAGACACTACTTTTGAGAAGCCACAGGGAAAGTTCTGAAAGGTAGATCAGACTTAGGATGCCATTAGTATCTGAAATGGGTTTAAACCTGAATTTCCAGGACATATTGTGAGACCACGGTGTGAAATCATTTGGTTGTTCCAGATGTCCTTAATTGTGTAAGGTGTCCAGCTACTTTGGTGACCCTAAGGTTGTAAATCAAGTTGTAATGTTGATGTTGGGTTTACCTCTCTAGGTGTTTAAGTTAGTTATTAGTGTTTTAGAGTGAGCATAATGGGATTTGGGTCTGGGATTTGGGGTTTAGGTAGATACACTAACACTGATAATCATGTTCTTTCAAGCGTTTAGATTATTGGCTATCCGGGTTGTTCCACAAAGTCTCTCTTTCCCCCTCTTCTTTCTTCAAGATCTGTAAGCAATGGACTAATTGCTATTAAATTTGGGAGCTTCACATATGCCACAACTGAGAAAGTGAGGAGAAGGTAAATCTTGAATTCTGTTTGGATGGTATATAAATATGTATGTATATGTTTTGTCCTGTGAATTATAGGAATATAGTTAGACTCAGTTAAGTGATATATACCTACAAGGCCTTCCTTGCTTGCAGCACAAGGGAGGGATTGCCACACACTGTATACTTGCAGAGAGGGTTCCCTGGAACCTTACCACGCTGCAGCGGGAATTTATGTAGCGGTTTCCTATAATTAGTACCTCTCAGCTAGTTCCCTGTCTGTTAGTAAGAAAGTAATGTGGTGCAGGGGCACCTGGCTGAGGTTCTTGTTACGACCAACATTATTCTTCATGCGGTGGGATTTTCTTAGGGTACAAAAGGGCAACAGCACCTAAGTCATCCCTGCGGCTTTGCGGAGGACAGAATTGACACTACGCAGAGGCCGGTCTTTTTCTCGCTCCTCACATAAAAGCATCTTACGATAATGCCTTTGAGGTTATTGTGTCTTCACATGTAAATCCTGTTTTTACTTTCAGTGTGGTTAACTCAACATACATATAAGGAATCATTCATGGAATTTCCACAGGCTTAAGTCCTGACCATTGAAACTGTGAACCAACCTTATAGATTTTTATTTTTTCACGATTACCTATTTTTAGGTCTTAGTTATTTTTGTGAATAATCTGAATATAAGTAAGTGTGTTTTTAGTGCAAACTAATGATATATTTCAAGTGTTATTGTATAGAATGTCGCTTGACTTTTTTTATCGTCAGGTTTTTTTTGCTTGGTACGAGTATGTTATGCATCCAATATTGTCTCTGTAGTTATGATCATCTTTCAGGTAACAAAACGTATTTCACTTCTAGCACCTACAGCTGTCTAGATGCACAGTTTTATGATGATGAAACTGTGACGGTGGTTCTTAAGGACACTGTAGGACGTGAAGGAAGAGACAGACTCTTGGTCCAGTTGCCATTGTCTTCAGTGTATAACTGTGAAGATTCTGCAGAATTTCAGTTCACTGGGAATTACTCTACAAGGTAACTAACTCATCAGTAAGTTCCTCTTTCTGATATAACAGTTACAATGTTTTTAATGTATGTCATATGTTCCAGTTCTTTATGTATGCTAGATAACAGTTAACCAGGGATAATCATACAGTCAGTCATATTTTTTATTTTAAAAATACTGGCTTTAACAGCTCTTCTGTTCCTTTGCTTTACTAGTAAATCAGTAGGTATGTGCTGGAACAAGGTTGGGTGTTATTTGGGGTGGAGAATGGGACTTCTGTAAGTTCTTTCTTTCTTTCTTTTAAAATATGTTTTATTGATTTTCTACGGAGAGGAAGGGAGAGGGATAGAGAGTTAGAAACATCGATGAGAGAGAAACATCGATCAGCCGCCTCCTGCACGCCCCCCACTGGGGATGTGCCCGCAACTAAGGTACATGCCCTTGATCAGAATCGAACCCGGGACCCTTGAGTCCGCAGGCTGACGCTCTATCCACTGAGCCAAACCGGTTCTGGCACTGTGAGTTCTTTCTTAAGGAGCATCATTAATCCCACTTTATAGTAGAATTAGTTACCCTAGATTGCCTCCAGTGTTTCCCTTCCTGACGTAGGGCCTCAGTAGCCACAGGGAGAGGACATGGCCATTTCCAAGAGATGGCTTTGGCTGGCTGAGATTTAAGAAAGCAGATCCTTTCTCTAATTTAAAAATGTGTCTATTTATTTTCCTCAAAAGAGAATAAAAAACCTTACCTAGAAGATATTTTGCTTATTTGTAATTATAGTATTTTTGTAGAATATAGCACACAGTGTTTTTATACAAAGTCTGGTAAAATTATCTTGGAGATGGGAATATTGATAGAAACCGAGCCCATGGTTGACCCTGACACCCCCCCTAGTAAACCAGGAGGTGATCCCCTTTTCACTCCTGGGTCTGTTTTTCCCGCTCTCTAGGCTAGATGAACAGTGTGGTGCTATCCCTACACGTACCATGCATTTCGAGAAGCATTGGAGATTACTGGAAAGTATGAAAGCGCAGTATGTTGCTGGGAATGGTTTTCGAAAGGTGTCCTGTGTGGTAAGTGTTTGCAGATTGCTTACTAAGAGTTACAGGAGGAAGCGACTGGATCCATATGGTCCTTTCAGGGCAAACTTTTTGGATAAATTGCTTCTGTTGATGATGAGCTTGTTAGTCACCTTAGCTATTTAGTTCTCTTGTTCTGAGAAAGCTTACTAAGTAATCAGTAACAAGTCTAGATTTTAATTATGAAATTGTTAATTATTGCATGTGGAGATTCTTTTGTGCAAAATGAAAGCTTCAGTTTAGTGATTTTGTTGAACATTGATGGGAAAATAATCCTATATAATAAAACCCTAATATGCAAATCAACCAAACGGTGGAATGACCGGTTGCTATGATGCTCACTGACCACCTAGGGGCAGACGCTCAATGCTGGAACTGGCCCCTGGTGGTCAGTGTGCTCCCACAGGGGGAGCACCGCTCAGCCAGAAGCCAGGCTCATGGCTGGCAAGTGCAGCGGCGGTGGTGGGAGCCTCTCCCACCTCCATGGCAACACTAAAGACCCCTCCGGGGATGTCCGACTGCCGGCTTAGGCCCGCTCCCCTTGGGGGGTCCCGGACTGCGAGAGGATGCAGGCCAGGCTGAGGGACGTTCCCTCCCACCCCCCCTCCAGTGCATGAATGTGGTGCACCGGGCCTCTAGTTTTCCTATAAAACCATTCTTTGAATTCCTGATTTCTAATTCCTTATGCATAATTAGCTAAGCCATACATTTTAAAATTCTGTATTTGGCCTTTTTTTTCTTCAGTTAAGCTCAAATCTCCGTCATGTGAGAGTGTTTGAAATGGACATCGATGATGAATGGGAGCTGGATGAGTCTTCAGACGACGACGAGGAGGCCAGCAATAAGCCTGTAAAAATCAAGGAAGAAGTGTTGTCCGAGTCGGAGGCAGAGAGCCAACCAGCTGGTGCTGCTGCTTCAGCGCCGGAGGTAGTCATCAAAGTGGAGAAACTGGACCCAGAGCTGGACTCCTAGTCTCGGTGCCATTTTTTCGTATGTTCTCATTGTGTCAGAAAGGACACAGGAGACGGGCTCAGACGTCTTGAACCACTTTTAATTCTCTTTGTGTAACAAAGAAATAAACAGCAATTTTTATCCTCATTCCGCTTCATCTTCTCTTAGTGGTATAGTCATTGTGATAGACTTTCTTTTTGCTGAAATTCCTTTATATTACTGTGTGCTGAACTAGTGCTTAAAGAAAACAGATTGTGAAGAAAAAGGTAGGTATCGGAAATCATTCCTATATCAGGAAAAAATTACAATTAAGTAGTCATTCACTGGAAGTTTTTTCTTTTTAATTTAAATTCTTTATTGTTTAAAGTATTACATATGTCTCCTTTTCCCCCCACTGACTTCTCCCTGGCCACTACCACTCCCCAGAACATGCCCTCACCCCCGTTGTCTGTGTTCATTGGTTAGGCTTATATGCATGCATACAAATCCTTTGGTTGATCTCTCCCCCCTTCTCCCATCCTCCCCTGCCTTCCCTCTGAGGTTTGATGATCTGTTCCATGGTTCTATGTCTCTGCATCTATTTTTATTCATCAGTTTATGTTGTTCATTATATTCCACAAATGAGTGAGATCATGTGATATTTATCTTTCTCTGACTGGCTTATTTCACATAGCATAATGCTCTCCAGATCCATCCATGCTGTTGCAAATGGTAAGAGTTCCTTCTTTTTTACAGCAGCGTAGTATTCCATTGTGTAGATGTACCACAGTTTTCTAATCCACTCATCTGCTGAAGGGCACTTAGGCTGTTTCCAAATCTTAACTATTGTAAATTGTGCTGCTATGAACATAGGGGTGCATATATCCTTTCTAATTGGTGTTTCTGTTTTCTTGGGGTATATTCCTGGGTTACTGGGTCAAATGGGAATTCCATTTTTAATTTTTTAAAAAAAATATATATTTTATTGATTTTTTTACAGAGAGGAAGGGAGAGGGATAGAAAGTTAGAAACATTATTGAGAGAGAAACATGTATCAGCTGCCTCCTGTACCACCCCCCCACACACACACACACACTGGGTATGTGCCCGCAACCAAGGTACATACATGCCCTTGACCGGAATCGAACCTGGGACCTTTCAGTCCGCAGGCTGATGCTCTATCCACTGAGCCAAACCAGTTAGGGCCATTTTTAATTTTTTGAGGAAACTCCATACTGTTCTCCACAGTTGCTGCACTAGTCTGCATTCCCACCAGCAGTGCAGGAGGGTTCCTTTTTCTCTGCATCCTCACTAGCACTTGTTGTTTGTTGATTTGTTGATGATAGCCATTCTGACAGGTGTGAGGTGGAACCTCACTATCATTTTGATTTGCATTTCTTGAATGATTAGTGACTTTGAGCATGTTTTCATATGTCCCTTGGCCTTCTGTATGTCCACTTTCAAAAAGTGTCTACTTAGGTCCTTTACCCATTTTTTTGATTGGATTGTTTATCTTCCTTTTGTTAAGTTGTATGAGTTCCCTATAAATTTTGGAGATTAAACCCTTATTGAATATAACATTGGCAAATACGTTCTCCCATGCAGTGGGCTTGCTTGTTGTTTGGTTTCTTTTGCTGTGTAGAAGCTTTTTATTTTATTATTTTTATTTTTTAAATATATATTTTATTGCTTTCAGAGAGGAAGGGAGAGAGAGAGAGAGAGAGAGAGAGAGAGAGAGAGAGAGAGAGAAACATCAATGGGATCGGACCTTTGACTGGAATCGAACCTGGGAGCCTTCGGTCCGCAGGCCGACACTCTATCCATTGAGCCAAACTGGCTATGGCAAAGCTTTTTATTTTGATGTAGTCCCATTTGTTTATTTTCTCCTTAGTTTCTATTGTCCTAGGAGCTATATTGGTAAAGATATTGCTATGACAAATGTCTGATATTTTGCTGCCTATGTATTCTTCTAAGATTTTTTATGGTTTCCCATCTTACATTTAAGACCTTTATCCATTTTGAGTTTATTTTTGTGTATGGTGTAAGTTGGTGGTCTAGTTTCATTTTTTTGCATGTATCTGTCCAATTTTCCCAACACCATTTATTGAAGAGACTATCTTGGCTCCATTGTATGCTTTTGCCTCCTTAGTCAAATACTAATTGAGCATAATGGCTTGGGTCGATTTCCCCACATAACGTTTAAATAACTTAGATGGGTTTGGGAGACAAGTAACTATAGCTTGTTCTTAGAATGAATTCCAACTTTACAGTAATCAACCAGTTCTTTGTTAGACAGTAATCTGTCCCATGTGGCTCCAGCATTAAATTTACAAAGGTTTTTTGATATGTGCGTGGTTGCTGTTTGCAGTTCTAGCACAGGGGTAAATAAAAAGCGAGACTCCAGGTCTGCCCTTATCCTGAACCAGGGTTCAGAAATAGTTCTATTAATGTACCTGGCTTATACCTCACTTTCCCTGAGCATTGAGTTAAATTAATAATGTGAATCATTCCCAACTATTGGAGGATCATTTTTTCACTAATGTTTTTAATATATATGATATATCCAATATTTAGGAACTGGATTTGTATTTATGTCAAAGTGAAAAAGTTTAAATTGATTTCTGATTCTCTTTTTTTAAGGATTTTTTTTTTTGGTTAATTCTCTCCCAAGAATATTTTTTTCCCCACTGATTTTTAGAGTGGAAGGGAAGGAGCAAGGGGTGGGGGAAAGAGAGAGAGAAACATCAGTGTGAAAAGGACACATGGATTGGTTGCCTCCTGCACACGCTGGGGCCTGGGATGAACCTGCAACCTAGGTATGTGCCCTTGACTGGGAATCGAACTTGTTACCCTTGGGTGTGCAGGCCGACGCTCTGACCACTGAGAAACACCGGCCAGGGCTCTTTTTAAGTTTTAATACATACAGAGCAAATTATCTTGTTTATCATTGTGTATATATATATATATATATATGATATAGATTCTATACAATTAGAAACCTTGCTGTTAATACTTAGAACCAATTTGCTCATTAGAGACTATATTTAGCAGCAGTTGCTGGGTTTGCATTTTGAGTTTAGTGAACAAAAAGTGAAGAGAGGATGCGGAGGACCCTGGCAGTGGGTCTTCCCCTGGTACTCAAAGTGTGTGCACCCCGGTCCCTGACCTCCGTACAGTGGGGGTCATGAAGTCCCTGTCTCGGGGTTTGAGGGCCAAGTGGAGGAGTGTTTGTAGAGCATTGAGGTTGGTATAGATGAGACACCTGGTGAAGAGTAGCATTTGCTATACTGGTCTGTGCTGCTCTTCTCCAGGATAAATTGTGTTCTTTTTATAGAAATTTGCATAACATTTTATTTTTGTGCCAGATGTAATAAAGACTATGACAATAATAGTCTTTCTAATTCCCTGGCTTCCTAGTTTTTTGTTGTTGTTGTTTTGTTCTTGATTTTCTTCCAAAATAAAAATTTTATACTCAGCAAAATGCTAAAACATTCTGTCTTTAGTCAGAGCATTTGAATATAAATAGTTTCTAGTCATAAGCTATTATGGTGAAGCCTTGAGTTTATAATACCACTCTGGGCATATATATATCTCTCAGGTCATCTAAACAGGTTCCCAGTAGACAGTCTGGCCCCAGAGGGCAGTCCTGCTGAGTACCTCGCAGGAGCTGGGCACCATTCCAAGCACATCCCACCGTTAACGCATTTAGGCCTCACCAGGGTCCTATAAGGTAAGTGCTATTATTAGCACCCTCCCCATTTCACAGGTGAAGAAACTGAGGCACAGGGCAATTTTCTAACTTGTACACGGGCAGCAAGGGTAGGACAGATGGATAACCAGGCAGCCTGGTACAAGACCCTTGTGTTTAACCACTAGGTGCACTGCCTTTTTGGGGTGTGCGTCATTCCACTGCCCTGCCCTCCCTCCTTGCCCGTGGCCGCGCTCCCCAGCGATCCTCCTGCAGTGATGTGACCACCATAATGTCCGGGTTGGGGGGCACCAACAGTGGCAGGTGATGCGCTTCATTCTTAACAGAGTTCCGTCACTCACAGTCGCCCTCAGCAGCCACACTTTCTGCACATGTGGGAGTGGCATGTGGTGCAGCTGGGCCCTGCACCCACCCCTACATTTGACCCTCCGGGGTCAGCGTGGTTTTGTCCAGGACAGCACCGCCCACAGCCGGTGGCACGTGCCATCGCCTCCTGGGGAGGCCGCGTGTGGCCCGGGCACCTGAGGACAGCACTGAGCTCTTTCCCCAGGAAGGTCCCGGGGGAAGCTGCCCGCTGTGTTGGGGCTGAGGGTGTTCTGCGTCGCAATTCATTACGAGGATTTGATCGCTTATTTAAGGTCTGAAGCCTTCCAGTGAGTAAACGCTCCCACTGAAGATCGAAGGCCGGCGGGCTTGGGGGGAGGCAAAGAAATGACCTTGAGAACAGATGCCCGGGCCCCGCAGGGGGCAGACTTGCAGTTCACAGCAGGAAACGATCCCCGTGGCGAACACTGCAAGAATGACCGCGCGACTCCCTGGAACCCAGGCTGTGTTCGCACGCGTGGCCGGTTCACTGTGGGCCGGGAACCGTGATAACAGCGTCGGGAAAGTAAGTCGCAGCTGCGTTTTCACACAGTCGCTCAGAGCATCACCTGCCAATTGCCCTGTTGGCGAGAGGGCCCTGACGGGGTGGCACAGTCCCGGGATGGAGCAGTTTCCACCTGAGAAATGAAAGTCGAAGGAGCAGACCTGTAAACCAGCTCAGCGATTCCACTAAAACGCAGCCCGCGCAGCTGGAGGCGGGTGAGCCGGGCGGGCGTCCCCTCCGATGGCTTCGGGGCCCACGTTGGGCTTTCTCTGGCGGGTCCTGAGTTGGAAGCAGGAACAGAAACTAGGGAAGCCGTGAGTTACCGATCCAGTCCGGCCATCGGAGGCCTATTGTTACAGAGGTTGCCGGACTGTCACCGGGGTTGGCAGCCTGATTCTCCACAGAGCGACTGAACGCGAAGCAGGCTGGCTCCTGCGGTGGGGCGGAGGTGTCCCGGGCAGGCTGCTGCAGGCTGCGTTCAGACTTCCATTTTTATTCGTGGTCTGCCCGTGGGCCCTGCCTGTGTGCACTCTCACACACTGCTGTCCCATCTTGGAATTCTTGAAAAGGGGCCCCAGGTTTTCATTTCATACGGGACCCTGGGAACAGCCATTCCCACATTCACCTTCGGACCCGTGACCAAGGGAGCATGCGTGTGGTTTTGGTGGGCTAACCCCACGTGAGTGGATCTGGCTGCAGCTGTCAGGTTTTAGCTTGGAATGGCTGATGGTCCTGTTCCCGGGGCCTGAGGGGCTCCTGGTTAGAGGCAGGGTTTTCCTCTTTACGAAGTGCCTTTCCCACCCAGCGATGTTCATAAAAATAATGAAACTCAACACTCTCTGCTTCTCTGTATTTCGTAATAACCAGACAAAACCCCCCTTCCGAGTCCGCGGCAGTGAGGATGGAAAAGCTCCCAGTGCCGCATCTCACTAACGGTGTGATGTTGAGTAAGGCCCTTTCCCTCTTGGCCACTCAACCTGCTCACCTATAAAACGGGTATATCCATCCCACAAGGATAGGATTCAATCAGGTAATTTAGGCAAAAGCACACTGTGAACCTTCTGTTGCTGGACAGATGTAAGTTATTATTGATATTAACGTTTGGACTTGATGGATTTGGTCATGCAAATCTATGAGAGGGCAGCCTGGCAAAGGGTAGGACTCGGGGGCCAGAGGCCAGGGACAATGGAGGAAGCAGGTAAGAGTGACGGAAAGTAGACTCTGGAAAGCCAAGGACCACATTCCGATTCCTGGCTGGCTTGCTGCAAAAGCAGGAGGCAGAGTCTCTAAGCCGGGGAAGTGGCCAGTGCGGAAATCCATCCGACCACTGAAGGGAGGCCTAGGTTTGCTTGGGTATCAGGTTGGTCTCTATGGTGTTTGGGTAAGCCCCCATCGTGGCTGCAGCTTTAATTTCATACTAGTTGCTCTAAAAGAAACACGAGGCCTGTATTACTTCTCTTGCCTTTCTTTTTGTTTTTGTTTTGATTTTTAGAGAGAGTGAACGGGGGGAGAGGGAGAGGAAGAGAGAGAGAAACATCCATCTCAGAGAGACACACATCCACTGGCTGCCTCCCTCACGGGTTCGCCTGGGCACTGAGGTGTGGGCAGGGGTGGGGGTGGAGGACAGGCCCCCCGAGGAGGGCTGGGTCATATGGCCTTGGAAAGTCCTGTGGGTTTTATCTTAAATGAGGTGGGACACCCCTAGAGGACTTGAAGCAGAGGAAGAATGCTAGGGTGATTTAAAAAGAGAAATTACAGGAGAATGTTTTTCTGTCTTCCCCATCTTAACTTCTCCTCCCCTGGCCACGTTTTCAAAGCCAACCCGCCCAGCACGGGCAGCGTGAGAGCCCAGAGGAACACTTGCGTCGGTGGCGTATTTGCTATAGCCGGGCTCTGAGGCCTTTTCTAACCTGGCCGTGGACTTGGGCTCCGGCACTGCTTTCCCCACGTTGTCAGCTGTCTCTAGCTGCTGGGCTGCCTCACCAAGGAGCAGTGTGTACCCCCAGCGCCAGGGCCTGTGGCTGCGAATCCCGAGTCTGGGCCATGCCCAGCTGTGAACGCGCTGACCAGCCGGCCTCTCTGCCCCTGTCTTCAGAGCCGTCATTCCCAGAAGCTATAACATGTGCCCCCCAGGCTTTTGGTGGAAATCCTAAAGGCTCTGAAAATGGAAAGCTGGTTGTTGTTTATTTTGGTAACTAATTTGGTATCAAAATGTGACCCGATTTGGTAGCAAAACCTCACCTGAACCGAGGCTACGAATAGCTCCTTGTTTTGCCCACGGAGCTGTTCTGCTGCAGAAACATGGGTATAGTTGTGTCTTGCTGTGTTAGCATGTCTGGCTGCTGTGTGCTGTCCCAGGTCCTCTGGGGTGTCACAGACCACGCCACATGCACTGCGCAGATGTCCTTAAGCCGGAGACTTCTGGATTTCGACGGACAACTGGGCCAGGGTTTGGGTTGAAGGTCGTGGGTCTGCATGTGTCCTACGACAGCAGCCATCGGGCGTAGTGCCTCGGCGTCAGATGGTCTGGCTTCGGCTACCACATACAGGCCTGTGGTCTTGGCAAACCCGGAACCTCCTGGACCCTCCTCTGAAACAGCAGCCCAGACTGTGCTCTCAGCTCTGTGACAGGTCTGCTTCTGGTTGTCTCGTTGCCTGCGTCTCCCTTCATCTCCCCGCGTCCCCCTCCTTGGAGCCACTCTCCCCCCGCGTTTCCAGGCCTGGCTCCCACCCTGCGCTCAGATGCTCACTGTGCCCCGAGGTCACCTCCCCAGAGAGGCCTCCCGGTCCCCTGGATGAGGCATCGGTCTCCCCCTGTTCTAGCCACACCTTCTCCCACTTTGCATTTCTGCCTAGAATGTGCCTCCCCCTGCAGTGATCGGATGCGACTATTTGTTTACCTGTGAATCGCCTGGCTGCCCCACTAGAATGTAAGCTCTGCAAGGCGGGGCTTCTCTAGCCTGTGGACACTGCCCGCCCGGCCAGCTCACAGAGCAGCCCCTCGGTGTGGGTGCGAGGCAGGGGTGGCACCCTTCGCAGAGGCGCCCTCATGGAGCTCAGCGATAAGGGGCTGTGAGACCAGGACAGACTCGCCCCTTCCAGCAGGCCCAGGGCTGTCCACTCTTCCCTGAGGCCACAGGGTGCTCTCATACTGTCAGCCAGGCCTGGAGGAGCCCCAGGAAACTGCCTGCCTGTGGGGTGGGGTCCTGATGTAGGAAAGTGACAGGCGATTTGGCTTCTCTTGTCAGGACCCATGGCCAACCTGAGTATAGTTCTTAAACACCTTCGTAGTGTGGATTTCGGAAGTAACTCAAGCGGCATTGCTCTCTGCTCCTATCATGAAATTCTTGAAGCCCTGCAATTGTTTTTTGCTTTTGGCAAAGGCAGCAGCAGCCCCCAAAGACACCCCCTACTCCCCCCCCGCCGCCCCCCTCGTGTAGATAAGCTGAGGGCTGTGGGGCAATCGGCCTCTGGGCGGGACTTACCAGGAAAGCCTTGCTTCTGTCCTCAGGCTTCCTGGTACCTGAGAGTGAAGTGTTCCAGGTGCGGATGGGACCGTGCTGTTTTCCTTCCTCCTTCTGTGGGGCTTGAAGCCTCTCCAGCCATTACGCAGAAACAAGTGGCGTGTTCTTAGGGCACCTGAGTGCCGGATGCTTCTGAAAACATACTGAAGTGAACGCTGGACTCCCTCCGAGATCGCAGGGCGGTGGGTGAGAAGCCAGTGCCCGCCCCCCCGCCCCCCCACAGAGCCCGGGCAGGGTTCAGAGCAGGTTGGACATGCACATGAAGTTAGTTAATTAAGGGGTGACTCGAACTATTGAGTCCCAGAGCCCCGGAATGAAATTCATGAAATACTAGAGAAGTGAGCATGGATGCATGATTCTAGAAAGCGAATGGCATAGCAAGTCCCCGTAGGACTCCCCCTCCCTCCCTCTCCCCTTCTTTCCTCCCCTCCTTCCCTCCCTCTCCCCTTCTTTCCTCCCCTCCTTCCCTCCCTCTCCCCTTTTTTCCTCCCCTCCTTCCCTCCCTCTCCCCTTCTTTTCTTCCCTCCTTCCCTCCCTCTCCCCTTCTTTCCTCCCCTCCTTCCCTCCCTCTCCCCTTCTTTTCTTCCCTCCTTCCCTCCCTCTCCCCTTCTTTCCTCCCCTCCTTCCCTCCCTCTCTTCACGCATCTTCCTCATGTATCCTCCTCCCCCCTGTTTCTCTTTTCTTCTAAGTAGCCAGGGAGCCACACAGACCCAGGGATAGAGGATGAGCAGCGCTTCAGACTTCAGTCCCACAGGACCCAGCAGGCAGCAGGGTCAGTGACAGGCCGTCAGCAGAGATGGTTGCCTGCTGGGCTGGACCGAGGGGAGGGGCCGTGCACAGGGAGGTTCTGTGTGAGGGAGAACGCGTCTCTTCAGGGCTCACGGGTCTCACTGGGTTGCTGACTCCCTGTGGTGCCCAGGCAGGAAGATCTCAGGAGGAAATCATCTCAGAGCAGCGAGCCCAGGTCCTCGGGCTGTGCAGTCTGGGCCCCTGACAATCTGTCCGTGGCCTCTGCTCCCCTGGAAGGAAATAACCATGTGGCCCCAGGGAGGCAGCTGGGGAGGAGGAAGAGATGGTGAGGAGGTCAGGAGAGTGTCCCCCTCTCCAGGACCCACAACCAGTCTTCTCCTCCCAGAGGAGGGGTCAGGCCCGGGTCCCCAGAGCGGACAGTGAGGAGAGAGGGCACAGGACCTACGGCCTAACCTGTCCAGATGCTCTTGGTTTGGCTCAGTGTGGCCTCTGGGCAAGGTGGGTGCCCAAACTTTGTAAACTTTGGTTCGAATTTGTGTGATTCAATAGGTGACTCGGTTTCTAGGTGAACAATGTTTTAGAAAGATCCAAGTTATGGGATTTCATAGAAGAAAGATGGGTGTTTTCCAAAGAAGCTGTGTCAGGTGGAGAGGGAGAGGGAGAGAGGGAGCCGCGGGAGGAAGTGGCTCCCTCTAGTGGCCGCAGTGGGAACAGCGTTAAACTGGAGCAGTTACTGGGAAGGGGGTGAGAGGTGCCCAAATGTAGAGGGTGGCGAAGGCTGGCTTTCTTCTCCTCTTGGGAACCCCATCTACGCCCCTCCGTGGCTTCCTTGACCACTGGCCCCTGTGCCCTGTGCATCAGACCATAAGTGCTTTATCAACAGGAATCCACTTAATCTATTCTCCCAACACCCTGGGGAAATTTTCCATCTTGATGCATGGCAAATTTTATGTGTATTTTACCACAATTAAAAAAAAATATAGCTGCAACATGTGGCCACTTGGGATTCACTACAGGCCAGGTACAAATCACACAGCATAGGGAGCTTTATTCTGTTTGGGGAGCGAGTCATTCATTCATTCATTGATCCATCCATTCTTTTATCCCATCAATCAATCCATGTTGAGCACCTCCTGGGTACTAGCCACTGTGCTTGTGTGAGAAACAGCAATCGCCCCTCCCAGCACACTCCCCATCCCTGTCACCTGCTTTAGTTTCTCTTCTTGGCACTTACTGTGAGTCTACTTGTAATATACTTATTTAAGTTTTTGGTTGTCTGTGTCCTGGCTTCATGATGGCAAGGAGCTGGACTTTTTTGTTTAACCATGGTGAGCATGTGCCAGGCATAGCAGGTGCTCAATAAATACTGAAGATATCAAACATGTATGGGGGGTCTTCTATGTGTCAGGCACTGGAAATGCTAATATATCAATGAAACTGAGTCCCTGGCCCCAGGACTGGCAGGGAGATGCCCAAGCAAGCAGATAGTTATAGTCCTGTGCCCCAACTGCCAGTACAGTGGCACACTGAGGGTGGAATCACTTGGGTGGGGGCCAGGAAGGCTTCCTGGGGGAGGGAGCCCCTTAAGCTTAGTTCTCAAGAATGAGTTGAGGATGTCCTGGTGAAGAAAATGAAGGGAAATATGCTTCCCCCTGAATAGCAGCTGTCCCTCTAGCAAGGTCACCTGCCTCCCCATCCCCCATACCTCAAGCTTGCTTCAATCATATCAATCATATTGCCTGTCTTGGCCCTGTAGGCATTTGAATAGTTTTAGCCCTGGACTATTTGATTTTTTCATTTCTTCCACTTGTAATGTTGCGAGTTGGAAATCTATCTATATATATATATATATATATATATATATATATATATATATATAATGTGGGGAAAATGGAAAAAGTAATAGATATGTTTAAGAGCTTCTATGCACTGTATTCTAAGTATTTTACATATATGATATCACATAATCTTTAAAACAACTGTTTGACATCAGTATTATTTCTATTATCCCCAAGTTACAAGTGAGGAACGAAAGCCTAGAGAAGCTAATTTGCCCAGAGTCATAGGGCAGCTAAGTGGTAAATTAGGATTTGAGCCCAACATTCTGACTCCAGAGTTAATGCTTCTAAACCATTAAGATCTTCAACGGGAAGATCATTGAATTTTGGAGAAAGGCTGGTTGGTTCTAGGTTTATGGGAGGATAATGGTCAGTAATCATCATGGACAAGAAGGGGATGAAGATAACTAAGATACATGGTACCCTAGGTAGAGGAGTGAGAATCCTGGGCTGTTGTGAATTTCCACACCAAGCATCAAACCACCAGAAGGAGAGACCCAATGTAGTCCTAGTGGCACGAAGCACTGAGAGATAGAGTACGAAGGCCTTGGAAAGGATTTGAGAATTAAGGGAAGAATGGCATCCAGAGTGCCAGCTCGGGGTTCGGGGAGGGTGGCACAGGAAGGCCAGACATATGCTAGTTTGTTTATTCTGCCAAGAAGCTGTGAGAGCAAACTCAGAATTTGGACTGGAGGCCACGTAGGCAAGATATTGCTGTACCTCTGTCAAATCCCGTTTACAAACTATGATGAGCAAGTTGTTTTTGTAAGGCAATGGAGCTACCAGGAGGGCTTAACGACTCTTTGAAATTTCTGGTTGACTAACTGTGGATAGCTAAAATATATAACACATTTTAATAAAATATGGAAAAAGTAAAAAAAAAAAAAAAAAAGTAGAAGAGGAAGGGATTTCTAGGCAGAGGGAACAGCATGTGCAAAGGCCCAGAGGCCTGAAAAAGCCCTGACCGCCCTTTAGGAGAACCCAGATAGTCGGTGCAAGGGAGCGAGGAGGAGGTTTGGGTCCTGAGAGGAGGCCCAGGCAGAGCTTCAAGGACCTTGATTGCCTGCCAGGGGACCCCTGATCTGTCTGGAGAGCTGTTCCTCTCATTGTCTCCTTTCCTGTTTCCTCTGTTCCAAGGGGGAGCATGGGGAAGGTGCCTCAATATATATGAAACCAAATTCCAGCTCAGTTGGGCATGAAATTTCATCAGCGATGAGCAAAAAGGAAAAAGTGCCCCAGATCTTATCATTCAGAAATAACCACTGTTTATTATGGTTTAGTCTTTCAAAAAATTTTTTTAAACAAGATAAGCCCAGCCAGTATGGCTCAGTGGTTGAGTGTCGACCTATGAACCAGGAGGTCACAGTTCGATTCCTGGTCAGGGCACATGCCTGGTGGCAGAGTCGATCCCCAGGGTGGGGTGTGCAGGAGGCAGCCAATCAATGGTTCTCCCTCATCATTGATGTTTCTATCTCTCTCTCCCTTTCCCTTCCTCTTTGAAATCAATAAACATATATTTAAAAAAATTTTAAAAACAAGACATCTTGTTTTTGTTTTGTTTACAGAGATTTTAGTTGTTATGATTATAAAAGCGAGAGAAAGAATGGTCACTGTGGGAAGAGTAGAAGAGGTGGGTGAGGACAGGAATGAGAAGAGCGATGGCCCCAGGCTCGCCCGGTGAGCAGCAGGCTTAACAGGTGGGCATCTCCCTTGTGTCTTTGTTGCAATTTCCCTGGTGTCTTCTTTGCTGTTTCCCTCTCCCCTTTGGTGTCTGACATAAAATAAAACTCCAAAGTTTTTTCTTCCCTGTTTTGGGCCAAATTAGAAAACACAAATAAGCAAATAAATGAATACAAATAAAAAGAAAGAAAAACAATCCACAATCACCTGTCTGTTTCCGAGCCCATAGATCTAAGCCTGTCTCCTTCCTTCCCTCTCCCTCTGTTTTCCTTCTTTCTTCTTGTTTGTCTTGAACAGAGCTGGGAGCCGTTGGGCGAGTCAGTGGAACACGTGGGTATCCCTGCGTGCTGTTCACACAATGCCCACCTTTACCAGCCATGGTGACAGAGGCTGAGAAAGATGACGGAGGCAAACTGAGCCTTGCCACTCACTGTAGGACTGAGAATAGATTTTGAAAGGAACTTTGTCCCCCCTCTTAAAGAATAATAATCCTGTGAGGCAGGGATGGGTTCCTCAATGAAGAGTGAGCTCAAGTTGTCCCATGGAACTCTGAGATTTCCCTATGAGTAAAAAGGAGAAGGGGGGCTTCTTGTCATTGTCTTAAACAGGAATACAGACACCTCAGATGCTTTTTTAAATTATTGATTTCAGAGAAGGGAGCAGGAGAGAGAGAGAAACATCCATGATGAGAATCATAGATCGGCTGTCACCTGCAGACTCCACAGTGGGGATCGAGCCTGCAACCTGGGCCTGTGCCCTGAATGGGAATCAAACAGTGACCTCCGGTTCATAGGTCAATGCTCAACCACTGTGCCATGCCGACCAGGCCCTCAGATTCTTTTAACAACCTTCTCCCATCTGTCCAGGGAGGAAATGGATGGGATCATGGGTGGGACACACCCAGTTTGTCTATGGTGGGGCACTGGGGCAATCAAATGGAGAGGATCCAGGGGAGCATGCTGCTACCGGGCAGCCACTGGTCTGTGTCAGCAGAGCCTGGACCTTGGACCCCCCTGCACCACCTTGTCCCACCCACCAACATTCATTAGGAATCCCCCACCCCCTCCTCTCCTGCCATGCTCTGTAGATGCTGTGCTGGACTCCAGGAGACCCAACAAAGTGACACATGGTCTGTCCTCAAGAACTGAAAACATTGCTTATTCCTGTCTTCACTCTGCCTCATGCCCCTTTTGATTGGGGCCTGCTATTATTATTTAAGTTTAAAATATGAACCACTATTCCTTCTGGAAGCTTTGCAATATTTTAATCAAAGTTTAAAAATGTTTTGTACAGTACTATGAAGTACATAGCTTATGAAGCTACACAGGTTGGCTCATGTCCCTCCCATAATTAACAGAAGGAATTTAATCAAGGGGTTGATTATGTAAGTGGTGGGAGAGCTAAGAAGCCAAACAAGATGGTGAGGCAACTCAGAGGTAGGCAACTGCAGGCTGCTGCTGCCACGCCCAGCCTGAACCCGCAGATGGGAGGCAGTGCAGTTGGGGCCCAGGCCTGGGTAGCAGAAGCACACACTAGGTTTAAGGAAGAGATGTGGCCACTGCTAGATGCTGCCCAAGAGAGAGGAGAGAGGCAGAGTGGAGAAAGGGCTTCCTTCTCCAATGGCTTCTCTCCCCAGTCTCCTACCAGTGTCTTCCATCGACTAAACCCGAGTTTCTCAGCCTTTTAAAAGGATTATCGTCCCTACCCCAGGAGACTTTACAGACATTTGTTTTCCTAATAGCCTCTCCCCCATACGATTTCAGACCACAGATATACTGTTTATGTAGTTTGTAGTGTGCTTTATACATACAAAAATAAGATTTTTTTTCACACAGAACCAATTTTTGCCTTTTGGGAGGTGAGCTGACCCCAGCTGGAAATGGATGGAAGACAGGGAGCTAGCTGGAAGCCAGCTGCATGGAGACCTGAGACACTGCCGGCAGGGGTCAGCTGTGCTGCAGAATCGAGGTGAGCATGGGAGGGGAAGGGGTGGGTTGCATCATGCAGGCCTGGAACTGTCTTTTGTCCGTCCTCTCCCTTTGTGATTATTTGACTAGAAGTCATTTCCCATCAGAAATGTGAGGGCTCAGCTCTCACGTTTCTGATGGGAAATGACTTCCAGCTTCCAGTTCCTGGTTGAGCACCCCATGCAATTCTGATTCCTATGGAAGCCCAAGGCAAGCTGCCCCATGAAGTCCCACAATGGCACATAGATTATTTCAAACTAAAATCTACAGGGCTCTAGCCAGTTTTGCTCAGTGGATAGAGCATCGGCCTGCGGACTGAAGGGTCCTGGGTTCCGGTCAAGGGCACATCTTGGGTTGCGGGCTTGATCTCCGGTAGGAAGCGTGCAGGAGGAAGCCAATCAATGATTCTCTTTCGTCATTGATGCTTCTATCTCTCTCTCCCTCTCCCTTCCTCTCTGAAATCAATATATATATTTTTAAAATATATTTAAAAAAGAAAAAAGAAAAGGAAATCAAGGAAGCAGCGGGAATGGGAGGACCTCTCGGACTCTGCTCTGTCCTCCTAAAAGCAGGAAATAACTGCATCATCGGTGTCCTCCCACTTCTGGGAGGCCCAGAGACACCTTATCAGTTAGAAAATCTAGAGTCGGAAAAGCTTGTCTAAACAAACCCTGTAATAATACCTTCACTAACTGACTGCCCACGCCCCAACCGTGTTCAGATTTCTCACCAGGGAATGCCCACACCTTGCTTAGATTCCTTTCCCATGAGCACTACCTTTCTTTGTCCTGTCAGCTTCTCACAAATGTATTTCTTGTTTCTTTGTTTAAACAAATATAAATATGCCTGGTTCAATCATCTCTTGGAGCCTCATTTCATGATCTGAACATCCTATGTGATTACTCCTTGTGCATCTATTAACTTGTTTTTTCCCCTGTTCAGGTAGTCTTGTGTCTATTTTATTACTTTATTTTTAAAAAATATTCTTATTGGTTTCATAGAGGAGGGGAGAGATAGAAATATCAATGATGAGAGAGAATCATTAATCGGCTGCCTCTTGCACACCCCCTACTGGGGATCAAACCCACAACCTGGGCATTTGCCCTGACCTGGAATTGAACCATGACCTCCTGGTTCATAGGTCGACACTCAACCCCTGAGCCACACCGGCCGGGCTATTTTATTACTTTACTAGTATAACTAGTTCAAATATAAGAACTAAAGAAGGGTAGTGAGGGTAATTCTCCTCTGCTCCCTAATATTCTCAATAGGGATGCTTTTACAATTTTCTTTTTAACCCTTTTGTTCTGAAATTTCATGAAAATAATCCTTTTTAAAAAAACAATTATAGTTAACATAAAGTGTGTTATGTAAGTATCAGAGTTAGCTCTTCATTAAGACCCAGATTGGGGCTCTTCAAAGGACGGCCAACAAATATTCAAGAATCGGTGCCAAGGGATCTTTCGGGCTGGCTCTCAGAAGAACCACAGGGGGTCACCCCTAGCCATGCGCTTGAGAAATGCATGGTCCAGACAAGGGTCTGGACAACATGCACCAGAAGAGGAACAGATGTCATCACCGACAGCTTTGCAGAGCCTGAGGTTGAGGCCTGCTATTGACCTCGCTCAACACTGAGTTCAGTTGGTGCTTGGGCCTGGAAGGGTGGTGTGATGAGGGCTACAGGCTGACAGTGTCACCTGTTACAGACTCAGGGGGACTTGGGAGAAGTTCAGAAATGAGCTGGAGCTCCACTTCCTGTTTATAGATGAGGATACTGCTGGATTCAGTAGGATTTCTCCAAGGCCACAGCGCTGGATTGAGAGTCATGGTAAGTCGTGATATCTTGGCCTCTGGTCCCTCCTGTATTCAGGTTTATCTCCTTTTTAAAATAATGAATATCATTAACATCATCAATATGATAGCAGCAATGATACCACAATAGCTTTTGTTCACTCAGTTCCTGCCACTGCTTATCCTTGTGGGATATTTTACATGCACAGACTTGACAAGTATTTTGGCTGAGTATTTTCAGGACAGAGAGCAGAAGCTCTTTTCTATGCATTATGGGTTAATTTTTCAGATGTAGCACTTTTTGAATCTGTAACGGAGAAGTTTGGTCAAAAAATACCCATTCAACACATATTGTTGCTTCAATGACATTTGGAGGCACTGGGTGGCACTACGTATATATAGAGAAAAAGCCAATTCCTGCCCTCGAGAAAGTCTCAGTGTAGAGAAAATGGAAGACTAAGAGGCAGGTGGTTACCACACAGCAGGTCAAGTGCAGGATAGAGCTAATCACAGGGTGGGGTCCTGTGGGAGCACAGCAAGGGGGCGGGGGAGGTGGTCAAGAGGAGATGTCCCTGAACTTTGCCTGTAGGGATGAAATTCACCAGATGAAGGGGTTGCGAGTGGGCAGGTGGGAAGGTGGTGATGGTGGTGGGAGCCCTGAGGCCATTCCAGGAAGAGGAACTCCCTTGTGAAAACCCCAGCGACTGTTGCCTGTTTGTGCCCTAGTCCAGCCACACCCTATACACTGAGGTTTGGGATAAATACTTGTTGGATGGATGAATGATCAAACACAAATTTGATTTGAAGACTGACCTCCAGGCACATCTTCCCTGCTTGTTGAGTTGTGTTGCATTTGATGCTGTCGGAGGGGCTGCGAGTGAGCCCGGCAGACCCAGGGAGACACTGGGGTTGCCTGACCCAGCTGAATCTGGGGCAGGAAGACTTGGCCAGACTTTTCCAGCCAAACGAATTTTAATGTTAATTGGCATCTGAATGTTGGAGGAAAAATTCTTGCAAAGCCAGTCCCAGGTGTGGTATGAAGCCTGGGGAAGGGTGGGACAGGTGGGGTATTGCAGAGTTCTTGCCTCTGACTGGTGTCATGCCCAGGAGGCTTTGTGAGTGTAGGTCACAAGTATCCTCTGCCAGCTTGGCCTCCACCTTGATGAGCTCTCTCTCTCTTCCGACTTTTGGAGATTCCTAGCATTTACTGGTTTGTAGGTGGCATCACTCCAATCTCTGTGTTTCTTTGTCCTCGCCTTTTATAAAGACATCAGTCATTGGATGTAGGGCTCATCTTCAACCAAGAATGATTTCGCCCTAGCTGGTTTTGCTCAGTGGGTAGAGCATCGTGCGAACTGAAGGGTCCCAGGTTCGAATCCAGTCAAGGGCACATGCCTGGGGTGTGGGCTTGATCCCCAGTTTGGCGGGGGAAGGGGGTGCAGGAGGCAGCCAATCAATAATTCTTTCTCATCATTGATGTTTCAATCTCTTCTTCCTCTCTGAAATCAATAAAAATATATTTTTTATAAAGGAATGATTTCATCTCGAGATCCTTTACTAATTACAGCTTCAAAGACTCTATTTCTAAAAAAAAAAAAAAAAAAGTCATATTATGAGGCTCTGCATGGATGTGAATTTGGGGGGAACACTATTCAGTCCACTGCGCACTATGCAAAAGTAATTTTTAAAAGAAAAATATAGCTGGTATGAAATAACATTTCACAAACATTGCAAACAAACAACAATAATAATTCTTTTAAAGTTAGCATTTCTAGGTTAAGGAAGCAGGAAGACAATGGAAATCCATTCTATAAACAAATGGCTCAACACCATTTACCCATCTCAAAGGAAGAAGAGAGCTGAGAGTGAATGAAAATATATTAAAAACCCATTGAGCATAAACAGGCAGTTGAATGGGCTCACATTCTATTAACAGAGACCAATGAACTAGATTTATGCCGAGTTTGTGTTGTGTAAATGGCTGTTTCTGTGCCCACATCTAAGAGTGGCTCAGGAGGCCTTTGCTGTAACAGTGATGAGCTCACAGCTTGGGATTGGGGACATGGCATTTTAAGAAGAAGAATTGAGACAAAGTGTTTGGATATTGCTCAGTCTGCTCAGACTGCCATGATGTTTAGACTGGGTGGCTAAACAACAGAAACTTATCCTATATAATAAAAGGCTAATATGCAAATTGACCGAATGGTGGAACGACTGGTTGCTATGACATGCACTGATCACCAGGGGGCAGACGCTCAACGCAGGAGCTGCCCCCTGGTGGTCAGTGCACTACCACAGGGGGAGCGCTGCTCAGCCAGAAGCTGGGCTCACAGCTGGCACAGCGGCTGTGTGGGCCTAAGCTGGCAGTCGGACATCCTCTGAGGGCTCCCAGACTGTGAGAGGGCACAGGCCTGGCTGAGGGACCCCGTCCCTCCAGTGCACAAATTTTGTGCACTGGGCCTCTAGTTTCTTATAGTTCTGGAGACTGGGAAGTCCAAGATCAAAGTGCCTGCTGATTCAGTTCCTGGTGAGCTTTGTCTTACTTACAGATGGCTGACTTCTCCCTGTGTCTTCACATGGCAGAGGGCGAGGGACACAGAAAGAGAGAGAGAGAGAGAGAGAGAGAGAGAGAGAGAGAGAGAAAGAATGAACTCTCTGGTGTTTCTTCTTATAAGGGACACTAATCCTACTGGATCAGGGCTCCCCCTTATGACCTCACTTGACCTTAATTACTTCTTTACTCCAAATACAGACACACTAGGGTTAGAACTTCAGCATATAAATTTTAGAGGAACATAATTCAGTCCATAGCAGGTATTTTAAATCAACATTGGTAAAGAGGCATGATATAAGACTCTGGTATGGATTCTGAATCAGGCAGAATTTAAGATATTTTGGACACAATTATAAGGAACCCTAGTTTAATCATTTAACAAACCATGTCCTGGCTTGGGTCCTGGAGATGAACAACAAGATATTAATTCATGTGAATAGGAGGTGCTTCCTCTTAAAATCTTTGAGGTTAAAAAGAAACAAACATCCCTTCAAGAAGAGTACTTGGGGACGTAAGGGCCCAGAGCCAGACCTCCCCAGCTCCAGCACTCAGCAGCTGCCTCCCTCCCATCTTTGAGGCTTCAGTTTCCTCAACTGTAAAATGGGATTATAATAGTTCTCCTTGGGTTGCCAGGGAATTAAATGGTATGAGATTCGTGGCTATTATTATTATCAATAACAAAAAAAAAAACATGCATAGAGGAAATTTTGCCCAATGCTCAGCAAAGCTATTGAAAGGATTACGAAGCAGGTGATTTGTGGCAGAGAGAGAGGGAGACACACACACAAACACACACACACACACACACACACACACACACACACAGAAAGGCAGAGCTGCCCAATTTAGGAACAATAGCGAGCTTGCTTTTTTGGCTGAGCATGGAATGCAATTATTCCCTCACTTCACAAACATTTGAAATTTATGCTCTAGGAATAAAAGAAGTGAGAGGAATTTGTACCCATTTGAAAAGCTAATGGGTAATGTTTCACTGTAATGAACTGGGAATCTATACCGCGGAGCTTACAGCTTGGCTCACCTCACACTTGCCAGAGCCCCACTTAGGGCCTCGAAGGGAGCGCACACTGGCTCCGGGGTAGCATCATACACATATTGGAGTCTTCCACTCTGGGCTCCTTGAGGAGAGCTTTTGTGCATTTTCTCTTAAAAAGAACGTGGCGATGTCTCACTTAATGGACGGATTAAGGACTCATTTTAGAAAAAAACAAGGGGGACTAGAGAAACAGCTGAAGCATCTGTTTTTTAACCTGTTTATAGAGCAGGAGAGAATAGCCTATAAGATATATTTCTTCACTAGGAGGAAAAATATGACTGAGTTTTGACTTAGAATGTCCTTGTGTTGGGATAAAATAGTAGCCTTCACACTTAATGTCTCTTGACTTCCCTCCTCTCTCTCCACTTTTATTTATTTTTTAACCTAAATTGTATGAAGGGCATTGAGCAAGAGCTAAGCGGGAGATGACATCGGGGAGGCTGGTTGGGACCAAGCTGTGCAAGGACCTCGAAAGCCAGAGTGGGTTTCTCCTTGCCTCTGTACACAATGGAGACACATGGACTCTTCCTGGGCAGGAGGCAGCACGCATCGCAGTGGCAGGAGTCTGGGAATCTCCTTCCATTAGCAAGGTGGCCTCTGGATGGCACCAGACTTCTTTACAGAAGGAGAACGAGGTGCTTCTGGAAAGCTGGGAAGTCCTATGCGCTGGAGGAGTTCATAAATTACAAGACTGGTTTTAGTCTGTTCACCCATCCGAGTTCTGTTTGGGAAAAACTAACCAGGCCAAGGGATGAAGGCTGAGTTGGAGTGGGGACCCAGAGGACCTGGGGCAACCTCCTGGCAGGCCATCACCGTGGTCATGGACAGAGACTGCTGGGGAGGACAGGAGGGTGGATGGGAATAATGTTGCAAGAATAGAGGGAGAGTCCATGTGACCTAAGATCACTTGGGATGGGGGGACGGGGGCGGGCAGAAAGACAGCAGAGCCCCTCCAGGTTTCGGGGTGGGTGAGGAGGATTATAAGCTACAATGCCAAGTGCATGGGACAAAGAGGAGCAGTAGGTCTGGAGTCCAGGGGGATGTGTTCATTTGGGGCTGTGTTGAGGTGAAAGTGTCTTGAGATGCCAGTCAAGATGGACAAAGGGAAAAGCTCCGGGAGTAATTAGTGAGGGGGAGGAGAAGGTGGTGATGGCTAGGATTGAGGGAGAGACTAGAGTCCCTGAAAAAGAGAAGGGCAGACCCCCACCTAGAGCACATGGGCTCGGCAGTCAGACTGCCTGGCCTCAGATTCACTGACCTTGATCATATTGCTTGATCTCTCTGTGCCTCAATTTTCTCCTCTGTCAAAATGGGGATAAAAAAACAATCTTTGGGTTGCCAGGGAGAGCTAATGAAGCCACAAGCACAAAACTCTTAACATCGTGCCTGGCACACAGACATTAAGTATGAAGGCCATTATTTTATCCCATCACAAGGACACTCAATAAATAGCAGTTCTTAAAATGAGGAGGTGAGTCACAAGGATTTGTGTATTTGAAGGTTCATCATAGTAGCTTTCCGCCCTTTATTAACGTGGCTTGCTATTAATTCCCATACAGTTTAAACCAAACACCACACACGGGCTCATGTAGGGTCATGGAAGTTAAATTAACCTTCGACTGTACGAGGTCCCTTCATGAAGGACAGTCATTCATTACTTAAGATCCCTGGCACTAATTACAGGTTCCAGTACATGAAAGTGTTGCTCCAATGAAATGTCCTTCTTTTTAAATGTAAGAGATGTGAAAATAAAGCACGCCAATGGGAATGCCAATGCCTCAAACACGCTTTATCAAGATCGATGACTTCACGTGTAAAAACACGCCAACCATTGGTTTAGCCTGCGGTCAGACAAATCACGATAAATGGGTTCGGCCACGGC